AGACAGCAGCCGAAGGAACACTTTTCTTAGAAGAAACTTTCTGATTATATTTTTGTTTGGAATTGAAATTAGTGCAAGTGTCATTATTTTATTACTAGAAGAAGTATTTACTTATGTGGCTCCGGGCCGTAATCTCTTCTTATAAATTCAATAGGGCATTGACTTATACTCATTTCTTATATTTTTCTTATGAAATTCTAGAACCGTTTTCTGGTAACAATTTTAAACAGTATAGGCAAAAGTAGATTCCGTATGACCTGTTGTTACCCCCATGACTTGAGATTTCTGATTGTTTTCGCATTTATCATCAGATTTTAAGTCCCCTTATATTATTGATATTTTACTGGCTCTAAGTCAAAATTTTATTATATGACAGTATGATTGTATCACCGCCTACCATATCTTTGTTTAACAAATTTTAGGCATCATCATAATTTCAATCAGTGAGATCAAACCCTGATACGACATTATATGCAGTACCTGTCAAAAGGGATTTCAGGTATTGAAATTTACTTATTTTTGACAAAGAGTCATTATTATCCACAAAATTCTTGAAACAGTTAAGAAATCCTAAATAAATGCTGGGATCACCAGAGAACTATTTAATATTTAATTTCGGCAACTTAACTGCCGCAATAAATTTATTTTTTATTAAGGAGTTAAAGGTGCATTTTGAATTACGTTAACTTCAGTGTCTGCTTTACATTTTCTTAACCTATTCTTAATTTTGGATTTCCCTCTCAAAATTTTATGAGAGTTTCTTCAACCGATTTAATTCTTTCATATTCACTTTATCTTCAATCAATTATCTACCTTTATATTTCATTTAAGAATTTCTTTTTCTGAGAAAATGACACTCTAACAAGGAATCTGTGTCAGTTCTTTCAATCGGCTACCAGCAATCTCTGCTTATTTATTTTTAGTGATGCAGATCTGATAGCAGCTCTTTTCGACTTTAATGTCTATATTTTCCATATTTCAATTAATGGAATATAACCTTATAAAATTCAACAAATAATTGTACAAAATTAAGTACGTATTTCAATATTTTAAGCACTTCCTTTAAAAAACAATATATTTATAGTCCACAAATTTCCTTCGATTAAGATAAATTATTTTTTTAAGCATCAATGAAGATTATTCTTCCAGTAATATTTCAATAAAACAACTAAATATTCAATTTTTATTCCTCAATCATTATTTTTCAAGGTGATACTTCAAGAAGAAAGAAAAAGGCTACCTGATATTTTCAGGTCCTTCCATTATTCCAGCATAGACTATATCAACATATTCAGTTTTGATTTTAAAAGTATCTAAGGTCCGTGATTCGGCACCAAAAATATGTGTATAAAAATTGTCACGTTTTGATCACGAATCACGTTCTATTTTTTATATAAAAACAAAACATTTAATGAAGAGCTTATGTACATTATTTACATTATTGAAAGCACAACATCATATATTATAAATTTCCCATCATAGGGCCAAGATTGTTTATCAAGAACAATTACCGCTATGCGGCCAAGAACAGCTCATTTCAAGCGTCGCCCTCGAGCTAACTAAAAAAGTATTACATTCCTTTCTCCGCCGCCAGTCACGTGACCTAGTCGGCGACAGACGAAAAAATAAAGAAAAACTGAATCCATCGGAGAAAAAGAAATAATTCACAATATTGTCTTTTGTACAGTATGCAGAAAAGGTTAATGATTTTAAACAGCGTATGAAATGTATGATCGAAAAACTAGTGTTAAGGAAACATTAGTATTTCTATGAAATATCCTAATCTGTAATTATGTGATATTTAATTGTGTAATATTAAAAAACACTAAGTATTTTTTATTGATTGAAAATTGCAGTTTTATTACTTTTCGTTTGGTATCTATTCTTCCAAACACTGTGTAATTTGCGTTTTTTTAAATATTGCCGTTATGTATGTTTATTAGATTATCTCAATAAATGAATGTTGGAAATTAGGTTTTATTTTTTATTAAATTTAATTATATTATATTTTCTTCACTTACTTTTTATGTGCTTGTGATAACAAAGAAATTTATAAGCAATAGAAACAAAAAATTTCATCGTGTGCTCTTTAACGTACTTAGCTTACTATCATATACTATGTTATTTAAATTATTTCTGTACAGTAACAAAAGGAAAGTTATTGATTATAAAAAGTGCATGAAATAATCATTTTAATCTACCACTATTCTAAAATGTAAAAACTAAAAATAAGTAAATACATTAACATATGATTGAAAGAAATGGTGTTAAGAAACATCAGCATTACTAGTAAATACTGCAATCCATAATTATTGCACTTTTAATTACTTACTATTTAAAAAATACAAATGTTTTTTTTTATTATTGGAAGTTTTAGTTCTGTTACCTTCCTTCTGCTATTTACTTTCAAACACTACTAGTTAATGTTCTTTTTTAAATAGTGCTGTCTAAATAGTGATGTTGTTTGTTAGGTTATTATTTCATTTTAGATATGAATATGGAAAATTATTAGCAGATTTAGGTATATTTTTGATCACATTTATTAACTACTTTATACTGTCTTTCATTTGCATATCTTGGAGATATAGATGTTAATGGTTATATTTTTTACTGTGAAACAAGAATAATTTATACTTGTGTTCAGGTAAAATATTGATTATGTTACCTTAAGAACCACTTCCTAATTTATCATGACAGGGGCAATTTTCAATGTCTCTGAGATTTAACAGAAATAAATGTGATAATGCTGTTATCAGAAACTTTCTTTTTTTTTACTCACATATATATCTTTATTTACTTAAAACCTACTATTAATGTTATATATTTATAATAACCACTTTCATAATTACTCTCACTTAAGGGAAAAAAATTATGAAATCTTAAATAATCATAACTTAGAATTTAAGTTATTTGAAAAATATAGTTTAAAGTGCTGAAAATAATTAAGGCTTTTTATTAATTATGCATATTAGTCTAAAGAGAAATTTTAAAACTATAGTTTAAAGTACTGAAAATAATTAAAGCTATTATTAATTATGCATGTTTAGTCTAAAGAGAAAAAAATATATTATCTTCTGGTTTTCAGGAAAGGATAAAATATTTAAACTTAGATAAATACAAGGACAACAAAATTTTAAAAAAAGAAGAAAAATATATTAATTATTAAGCTTATTTTTCTGCATAAATCAATATGTAACAAAGGACATAATAACGACATTTTCCCAACTGTTGCAAAAAGGTGGAATTTTGAGAGCATTTAGGCGTCTTTAAGACGTCGTAATACGATGCTTTCACAACCAAAATATCACCTGCAAAAAGACACAATAACGACGTCTATGCGACAAAAATCTCATCTGCAAAGACGTAATAAAGACGTCTTTGCAACAGTTGTAAAACAGTGGATGTTCGCGGACATCTGGGCATCTTAAAGATGACATATTGCAACGTTTTTGCAATGACATCCGCGATGAGTTTGCAACGTCGTTACGACATTGCTGTGCTACTTGGGATAGCATCAAAAACATTACAGAATATTATTATAAGCAGACTGAGTCCAAAAACAAAATCTGCAAGTATAAACAAACTAAAATATACAAAAACAAAAGCATGTAAATTTTCAAGCCCTAGAGGACGTGCCAAACACTTTTTAAAAAAATTATAGCATCCAATTAATAAATAAATTAATTAATTAAGTAGGAGAAATGCTTAAAAAATCAAATAATAATTCTCAATTTAAGTGAATCGAGTCCAAAAACATGTAAAACAACATGTGAAAATATATGAATGCTTGAGTGGGAAAACACCAATTATTCTGAAGTTGCAAGTGGACTGACATTAGAAGGTTACTGAAATACTGATTATGTAGTAGAAGATGCCAGAAACGTTTGGAAGAATTACAAAATTCCACATTGATCATCCAAACATATCTTTATTACTTATTGATTACTCAATGGCACGGCACTGCACAATGGGGACAATCTGCACCCATCAATTTTAATTATGATGCATTAAATTTTTAATAATGAACTGAAGGAACCATGCAAGAGACACATCCTTTAGCTAGCAAGCATAATCAGCAAAAGCGAGTGTGTAATAGTTGCAGTAGCATTTATAATCTCAGAGCACTTTGTTTTAATTCGGCACAGCAATTGGGCAAGAGTTTTAGCAATGCAGTTACTGCAGGAAAAATACAGATGACTTGAACACTGTAGTGTTTTAATTGAAAATTAGAAATTTATAGGTCTATTTTCAATTCTTCTAATTAAATTTTATTTGTGAATAGAGTTCCATCATATTTTTATTTCTTACATATCATATATGCAAAATCAAAAAGTAAAGGAAGGTTGGAATGAAAATGAATAAAATTCTGTTTCTGAGATATGAAGGTCTAACCTTTCCTTTCTCAGTAAAAGTTAACATACTGAATAAACACAAATTAATGAAACTTTCAAAAACGAAATCGTAAATTGAAATGAGAAAAGAGAAAATACCTTAAAAATTTCAAAACATGATGCATAACAAAATAAATACTGCCCCCCAAAAATTATTAATTTCTATTGTTTAAGAATTCAAACAGAGTTTGTCAAGGGAAAAGTGTTTTGAAGCCTTAAACCAAGTTGATTAATGAGTTCCGAATACATGTTTCATTCCTTTAAACCATTTTGACTAACCTCTGAACCATATAAAATGGATATGGTTCATATATATATATATATAAATATATAAAGTTCAATTTAACTTAACATAAACAATTTCAAATACAAATTAACAACACATAAAGTTGCAACCTTTAAGAAATACAAAGTTAAGTAAATGCATAAAAGGCATTCAAAATGTGTATTAATAATAAAAAATGAAACTGTTGCAAAAAAGATGAGTAGGCATATAATTTAAAACACTACATATAAATTACATTGGTAACTGCTCACGTATGAGTGCAGTTTTCAATTTAATGTAGGAATATCAATAAGAAATTAAGGATTCAATAATTTATTTTCTTTCAGCTACACACCTTTGTAAGTAGTGAAAAGGCCAACTTAAAGAAACTAATTTAATTATACCTGACAGAGAAGATATTGCCTAATATTTCATCAAATAAATCCTGCACATATGCTTACTTAACTCTAAAATAATTTTAAATATTTGGTAAAAATATACAAATGAAACAACCTTGAGAGGTTGTGTAATAAGGACTGACGAAAAGAATGCAATGATTAATGATGTAAGCCATTTTGATGTTTTTTCATCTCCAAATTCTATGCCATATGCCCATATAAAAAAGAGTGATGCTCCAATAGAGATGATAACCATTAACCAACCAAAGTAAACACACCACCAAGGCAAAGAAAACTTTCTTTTCCGATGGAATATCTGAGCTTCAGCATCATCTTTACCATTCATGTTTAAAGCAACCTCAGGAAGTTTTTCAGGATTCTTTCTTTTCCAGTCACGCCCTATTTAAAATAGAAGGAAATTTTTAATGTTTATAACTTCTTTTTGTTTTAAACAAAAATTACAAAATTCCACTACTGATTTATATAAGTGAAGAGCCTTCAAAAAGTAATGAGACAGATGAACTAATGTCAAAATAAAATAATTTAGGAAAAGGAACTGCTTCTATTCAAATACCTTCAGTTTCAATCATTTGAACATATGTAATTATAGTGCTGCATATTCATTCTTAATGTATATAGATAAATAAATTTTCGTAATCCGGTAAGGCTACAAAAGTTTGTGCATACAACTGAAAAGTATCTTTAAAAATGCTTGGAAAATTAAATAGCTTACATGAAAAATGCTTTGCTTAATTCAATTACTTTAACATGGCACAGTATATTTATGAATATGAGATACTCTAACATACTTCCAGTAGGCCTTAAATGTTGACTACAGAGATAAATACCAATACTATCAAGGCAGCTCTATTACTGAGACAATTGCTAAGCAGAGCATTACTTACATAAGCAATTATATACTGAGATAATTGCTAATGCAATGTAGAATATGTCAACTGGATCCTGAACCTGTTCAAGTAGCAAGTTCAGAATTTTTAGATTTCAAACTTTAGCCTAACCTGCATGTGCATTCTCCTCTCTGCCATGCAGGCTGAGTCAAAATAGACATTACAAAAATGAGAGATACCATGAAGAAAGTTTGTGTATGTTATGCTGCAAACCAGAAGAAATATTATATTATTAGCTTTAGGTGAATCATACTTATTTATTTATTTGCATGTAAATAAAGTGCTTTCTTGTACTATGTATGTATGATTTATGAAACTTCTCACATAATGTACATGTACCCACATGTAATGAACCCACAAAATACAATGGAAGTGTCACACCCATATCCTTATAGCATATGACTATGCTGCATGACTTCCATTTGTTGCCTCAAGAAATAAAAATAACTTCTTGGGTGATGATTTTATTTCACTGATGAACTAAATAATGCTGTAATGAGAACACCACGCTGGGAAAAAACTCTGAATGCCACCCAGAAATTAGTAAAGAGAGAAAACTGGTATATTCAGTTTGTGGAAGAATACTTTAAAAATATGTAATTATGTTCTACCTTCTGTCTTCCATATTAGCAGAAGTAGTGATTCTCTGGTGCATAAACTGAAAGGTTATGATGTGCCAAACACAAGTTAAATGCATTTCAGAAGATAGTATATAAGATCAAACAAAAGCAGATACATAACATCAAATAAAATAATGCAACAGTGAATGTTGAGATGTAGAGGTACATCAAATACACATAATTATTTAAAAACAGGTAAAATCACACAGTAATGAAGTACATTAAAATATGTAGTATTAAAATACCAAGCCATTACATTAAAATCAAATAAAAAACTAAATAATAAATGACAATCTCTCTTTGGTGTAAAAATAACTTGGAATATATCTATTATTCAGTCAAGAGGCAAATCACAGTGACTAAAATATTTCAGTCAAATCTTGTTGAAATTAGGACATTCTATTAAAAACTGGTGGATTATGAAAACAGAATTACAGTTTGAACAATCACATTTAGTCTTGGCTTTTAAATGATACTAAACATTCCATAGTTGCTATCATATTTATGATTTTGCTCTTGATGATCATGTTGGTATCTCTAAGAGGAACAAGCCCACTGGAGAATTCCACAACAGAATTTGCTGTGATGTCTGCCAGTACATTTTTCCTAATACCTACATGTCTGGGAATCCAGCAGTAAAGAAACCAATATTATGTCTTAGGATTTCAACAATTACCAAATTTCAGGCATCAGAAAATACCTTTAGAGTCACAATAAATAATGAACTATTTCCAGCAAAGCTTTGTGTGAAAGGACATAATACACAGCAGTTAACTCCAAAGTGAGCACTGAGCAAGAATCATGCAATCATCTTCCCTCTTTATCGTGTACCAGAATAAAAGATGTTCCAGGATGAATCGTTGCTTTTGAACTGTGATGTTCCAACACAATTGGTTGCTTTTGAACCATCAGTATAAATGGAAATGTCAAGGCTATATTTATGCCTGAGTTCAAGGAGCTGTTTATAAATGATGTCACTCATATTGCTTTTATTCAAATGACAGAAAATGTCCAGCAGGTGGATTTATGCACTTTCCCGAGGTGTAATTTTAAAATGCTTTACTGTCAGAGCATTCACCTCAGATAAGAGATATTCTTCAATCAGTGACCAGGCTCTAAAAAGGAAAGAAAGCACACAACATGTCTGTACTTCAAACATTGAAAGGTATCATCATGCAAAGTGGTCTTACTAGAATGTTCTGATTTTGGCACTATACTGAAAAAAATGGAAAAGAGACAACTGCTCATGCATTTGAACACTTGCTCCAATTATGGAGCAAGTGTTCAAAACAGTCACCATGCAGACTCTTCGTCCTATACACTCCGGAACATCTCCGGAGAGCCTGGTGATGAACAGGAGCTAGCTTTAATATCACAGAAAGCTGTGTACAGCCATAAACCACGGAGCCATAATCCAGTTTAAAGGACACTAAAGCCCTGTAAATGCACATCATAGTGCCATGATCTGTGTCCCAGAAGGTGTCTGAAAATACATTGAAAAGATTCAATGTTTTCAAACATTTCTTCTTAAGCACACGTGCAATGAATGTTACTTTTTGATCAAACAAAAAATTCTAAAAATTTTATTTCAGATGCAGCAGGAATTAATGAATCATGAAGATATAGCTCAGGCTCATGGTGGAGATTATGATTTTTGCAAAAGTGCATACTAGATTTGAGAAACTGAAATCATGTTGAATTGACCAATTAATGATTCTGTTAATTGCAATTTGTGGTTGTCTCTCAACATACTTCATGACCACTCCTTAACATCATCAAAATACAAAATGTATGAAAAAGAAGAAGGAAGTTCCTTTCAGACAGTGGCTTTTTTCCAAAGACTTTTTTTACAGTCTATTTTATGGCTAAATAGAGTTACTCAAAGGATACGTCCTTCAGGTATACCTTCTCCCTGATAGAACATGTCTGCCAAGGTGGTACTCATTCTCTCTTGGAAAGTTTTAGCCTTAAAATAATTCAAGGGATAGCCATACTCACAAAAAGTGAGTCCGAGGCCTTCCAACTTATATAAAAACAATCTCATTATTCTTCCAATAACTTGCATATAAAAAAAAAGAAACAGTGAAAAAAATTATATATTTTCAAACAAAAAATTATTGATATGATTAAAAACAAAATAAATCAGCAAAATTTATGGGTTGAACTTTTCATCAGAAAAATATATTAATAACAAATGATCTTTGAACTAAATAAAAGAATGACCTCTCCTATTAGAAGTGTTTTTGCTAACATTCTCTAAACTTGTTTTTAAAGTTTAAATCTATTAAGATATTATTATTATTATATATCAAGATAATGTATACTAGGAAAGAGATACAGTCTCAAGCTACACTAAAAGCCCATAACATGAGTAACATCTCTCCCCAGAAGCCTCTCAAAGAGACCAAAACCACAGAGGATGACCATTGCTTTTACAAGTCCCTGCTGTTCTTGAATGGACCACCACATGAACAGTGGTTCTAGCCCTTTTGAAGGCAGCTAATCTCCCCCAAAATGTACACTCCCAAAATATGGAAAATACAAGTTGCGAGCTCAGGAGGCTCTTGATTAGCTGCATTAGCAAGACAGCTCACTCATTCATGTGTTGCCCTTTCCTCATATCAAGGGAGTACCCTCGGAAAGGACATCGAGATAATGGAAAATTTTTATTAACAAGTACAGCTTTATTGCATGCATCAAGTATTAAAATTCGTAGAAGTTTCACAGAATTATTTTTTTAAAATATTATTATAGAAGAAAAAATTAATATATACTACTATTTTTCTTTTCATTGAACAAATTAAAAAACTTTCAAGCCTGCTATTTTCCTTCTCAGTGCTATCTATAACTAAGTGAAATTTTTACACAACAGTTTTATAAATCATTTACATACAGTTGCTAAAACATTTATGATTAAGTGCTCATTCTTCTTTCATCTAGATAAAAAAAATTGTCCTTAAAACTAAACAGAGATACATAAATCTAGTTTTCAATTTGAATTTTTCAAACACTTCTAGAAAAGTTCATAGTTCCCAGATGTTTTTCACTAATAAATTTTTTTGCTGCCTTTTTAAGGGATTTCTCACAAACAATTAAAATACAAAAAGTGCATACTGTTATTTGCATAGATAAAAAAATTGTAGTTATTTAATTAAACAAAAAAAATTAAAAGAAATATGAATTTATACTTCTATAATCCCTAGTTATTTTATGTGATTTCTTGAATGTCGAATTGTTGAAGTATTCTTCTCAATTTCTATGTTCAAAAGAATTGTACTGTGTCCTCAAATGCAACATACACAAAAGTTTGTTAAAAAAAACTGATTTAGTATCTCTCAAATATTGGAGAAAAAAAAAAAAAAAAAAAGATTAGAGAATTTTTTTTTTTTTGGTTGTTGTTGTTGTTGTTTGTTTGTTATTGTTTTGTTTTTGTTACTGCTGTTTATAAGTAGTAATCAAAAAGCAACAAGTATACCAACAATACAGTTAAAATCTTTACATGACAGATATATATATATATATGAATCTATATTTGTACAGATCGAGTATGATGAGTGATCAAAATAATCATGAAAATAGGAATAAAAAACAATGGATTTAGATGGAATTCTTATAGAATGTTTAATAACTCTTTATAAGAATAATTGACATACTTCAAATTTATAACTTAATTTTTTTAATAATGAAAATTTGAATCATGTTAGCCCAAATTATAAAAATGCACAAAACTGAGGTAAAGCTTGGAGCATATGTTGACACACTATATTCAAAAGGATTTGTATGAGACATTTTGAAACACTGTTCAGCATTATTTCACAGTTATCACACAATGGAACATATTTGCATAATTTATTACTATTGATGTTTTTCTGACATTATTAATTATTATTCTACTGACAATTACAGCATGTTAACAAAATTTTGACTGTTAATATATAGGCTATTTTTTTTCATAGCTTTTAGCCTTTCAGATAAAAATGGAAAAGATCTTTTTTTTTTTTTTTTTTTTTCCCCCCTTTTCTCTTTTAAATTTCAAAAGATAAATTTAAGAGAATATTTTTGAAGAAAATGTCACACTAAGGATTTGCAGTATTTGTGCTTTTATACTGCATGTATATCATATGAAATATAAATTAAAAATATTAACATAAAATTACTTCATATTTTGAGAACGTATTCTAAACTAACACTAAGCATTTAACATCATTCAAGTAATAATTTTGCTTTCAAATAGATCATCTTATGTATTGCAAGAAAACAAACCAGTATTTTTTAACAAATATTTCTTATAACTTTTTTTTAAAAAATCAGTATATAAATTCTGTATTTAACTAATATAGCTCCTTGTGTAAAAAGTGGTTTCAACCCCAAATGCCACATTTACTTGCATATTCTCCCTACTTTTTTTTAGCAATTTCTCTGCTTGAAAACTCAGTGGCAAAAAATACGTAGTGTATACTGTTTTCAATAAGATGGCTTAAATTATAAGCATAGCACATTAAAAAGCACCCCTAAAGAGACACTAACATTATTATGTATTTCAAAGAACTTATCAGTTTCAATAATATTCTTTTTACTTACACAAAATATTTTCCTCTTTGTACATACATTTAACACTGCCACAATAAATTAGAAGTCTCTAAATCATATGCTGAAAAACAAACTAGGATGAAAAGTACATGAGCGGAAGAAATATGCATGTAAGTATGGTGTATTGTGAGTTATCAGAAAAGAATTACATTACCTGAAAATTTACAATATATCACTTACTTTGTTTTTTCAGTGCTTCTTCAATACTAGATGGTCGTAACTTTCGAGGTCGAGATTTTCGGAAAAAAAATATCATGACAAAAGTGGGAGGGAAAATTATAAAATTGGTTATAAGTCCTACAGCAATCTGGAATTACAACAAAAGTTTTATATCGATAAATAAATAAATAAATAAATAAAAATAAAACATAAAAACAAAATTATGAAATATAATGGCTTTTTAACCCACATAAAGCTGCAGTAAAACAAAACAGTTAATAGTATAGATTTAAGTTTGCTTAAGTAAGCATAAAGATCAGCAATTCATAAAAAGGAAGTAAACAAAAGAATAATAAAAGTAATATTACGTAACCATGAAAATAAAAAAACATATATAATATGCACATATATGTGTGTATCAGTATATAATTACAATAAATAAAAAAACTCATATGCATACCCAAAAAAGTACTCAACTGCATTTTACAAAAACAAAATTTTGATTATACATTATGCAGTGCATAAAATGAAACTAAATACATTCAGACAAAGAATTTAAGACAAGATTGTATAGTACCAAAATACTGACATTAAAAAAATAATGAATAAAATAAATTCCCTTTATAAATTCCAAAAATTTTAGCACTGAGAGCAAAAGAATTTATGGATGCATCTTTTCTACACAAATTCCGAAAGAAAAATCATTAAACAATACAATTGTGGCATGGGAATTTACCAACCGTTTTTTTTTAAATAATTTTTATATTTTAACCTTTCATTTTTGATACCCTGAGTTAAAGTAAAATCACATAAAAGCCAGTTATAAGTGCATAATTCTATGAGGTTAGGTTAATTGATTAAACCTAAGCAGCTTGTTGACTACCTGCCTATAAGGAGGGATGCCTTTGTAGAAGACTTTTTAAGGGAAACTGACTCGCATCCACATTAAACATGGAGCAAAAATATGAAAACCAATCATGCAGCCAGCCCGTTCTCTGAGATTCTATACCAGATTGAACCTCTTGTGCTTAGTAGTTCTAACAGCTGGTGGATCAGTAAATTCCATGAGCAAGTTACAAGTTGCTTACCTCTCCAAAATTATGAAAAGGTAAAATTTATGAAAAGGTAAAATTTTCACATAAAAGCTTTAACTTAGCTGAAATTGCTCAAAAATGTGTGGACTTTGCATTAAATTTACAATTTTTCAAGATTACAAACCCATTAATTTTTTTTTTTCTTTGAGTATGTTATTCTAGTCAGTTATTCACTTTCATATGATATGCATTGCATTCAAATGTGATTTTTGGAATTCCTTAGTAAGTTGGAAGATGAATTGTTTCTAAGGTTAAGAATCGCATAAAATTCTTTTAATGCAGCTCAACATGTAAAAGCCTATATTTAAGAATAGGACCCTGTAAAAAGTAAAACAGACAAAAATAAATGACAGTTTTGAGAAGGTGTTACTAAATAGGCAGAAGACAATATTGTATCATGATATGATCATCTGCTTAGATTCTTTTATGCTTATTACAAATACACCAAAATACTGTTTAACTCAAATATAGTTTAGTTCCAAATAAAATTTGAAGATGTGATTGAGTTAAATATCCACCCCAGAAATACTGAAGTAAAATTGTAGATGGAGGCAGAGATCTTTGCATAGTCTCAAGTATATTTCAAAAACTTAAAATATGATGATAGTGAATTTTGCTTTAAAATGATTTAAACTCTAACAAAGCACTCAAAAAATTTTACAGTCAGTTGTAATAAACCATTCAAAGGACACTTTTATATGAACTCATTTACACACATGTTAAGCTCATCTCTACTAAACTAGACATGCCCAATCAACTCTAGCAAAATATTTAAGAAGTTATCAAATTTAACTAAAAAATAAGAAGAAAAAAAAGGTAAAAATCAAAAAAGGTATCATCTAACTGCACAAAACTGGCATTCAGAAGTGCAGTATGTACAATAATTAACAGTTATACAACATAAATTGATTACAAAATGCTTTGCGCAGACACAAAGCAAAGTTTTCAGGAAACATATTTGTCTATATTGAAAATGTGTGTGTGTGTATTTAATTATGGCAAAGCACACGAGGGCTATCTGCCTAAGGGGAGGGATGCCTTTCGTGGAGGACTTTCTAAGGGAAACTGGCTCGTATACACGTTACACATGGGGAAAACCACGAAAATGCCCATGCAGCCAGCCCGTTCGCGGGATTCGAACCTCGGACCGAACTACCAGTGTTCAGCGACTTTACCGCTCGGCCGCTGGTGGGCATCTATATTGAAAAACATTATTATTTATCAAAATTTGTCATGCATACAATGCTGAATAAAATATTAATCCTCATGTCTCATTCATTACTTTAGTACTCAGGTTTGGAATGCACATCCCAAGACAGAGCCTACACCCAGTCACTCAGATACCCAAAAATCTAAGCCATACAAATTAAAGACATAATGCTGTGCTGTAAATTTTTTAAGGACCATAATGTATTGCAGAAGGTTTTAACAGTTAGCAGAAAAACTCTGTTTATCACTATTGTCATTAAAATTGTAATCATCTCTGGCATAACAATTTGCACTCACCATAAAGTATTATAATACAGTAACATGGATCAAACAAGCAGCAGATAATCAGAAGATGGAAGATAATTTGTATAACTCATGATTTTGCAAGATCTATATTTATAACACATGTGGCTAATAATACCTTCAGTTCATCAGGTCTAGACATTCAGGTATTACAGTAACTTTTGAGGCTTTATTTTCAATACGCTTATATAATTTTATGCCTAAGCATGGAAATGATGAGCAAGGCACACAGATGAACACCTAAGACAATATCGCAAATTTTAAAAGTTCACAGTATATATCATATATAACAGAACTTCATCTTAATTATGTCAGTGTCAAAGCAATGCATTGTCTAGTTGATTTAAACTTGATATATTATAACTGTTTACTATTGTACATTACTGAATTTCTGGATGTTGATTCACAGTGATTAGAATAAAGCTGTACAACTTTGTAGCATGTAACTGAAAACTTTTTTTTTTATCCTATTTCACTGCAAAGCTCAAACTGATAATTTTTCTTTTTCTAACAGGAAGAGTTAAAATTATTTTATTTGATAATTTTAACTACGTTTAACAATGTAATTTTAATATGGTCTGTTTACTACAAATATGCTTAGTGTACAGAATGAGACTTTTTATTGCAGAATAAAAGTTTATATGCAGACTTTCCTTTGCACATGCTTATAATGAAATATTTTGTACATTAAGTTCTCCATTTTTTTTATTATGCTTCACTCTTAGTTTTAAATTTATGACTATATTAATTTATATTCTCTTTAAAGAAAAAGGGGCGGAAATCACTATGTTTAATATTATACCTTTCATAAATTGTGGGCAGAAATCACTATGCTTAATATTATACCTTTCATAAATTCTATCTGTTAGCGAAAAAGAAGATTTATTAATTATAAACTACTAAATTATTAAAAACCTAATTAATCAAGGGTTATTTATGGATAATATTACAGATTTTATAAATCTTATCCTTGAATAAAAAGAGTTAAGGTAAAATAACATTCCGAACAAATATTAATTTAAAAGTCAAACAACAAAAATCAGTGCAAATTTTCACAGGATTAGTGTCCATGGTTTTACCAAATCATCGAAACTAGTCCCGTGAAAATTTGCAAATATAACACTGATTTTTATTGTTTGACTTCTAAATTAAAAACAGTTGTTTTAGATATTTTACAAAGCAGAAACAGTTTTCAGATACACAATAACCAAATGAGGAAACAACATTACAAGAAGTCATAAATTAAAATATTTACTCCATGCAATATGATACTTTGAAATTTTTAAAGGTTTTACTGAATGCAAGAAAAATTCTAAGAAAAGAATTCTAATGATCACCTGTTCAGGACTCAAAGAAAGAGGCCCAAATTTAAATCCACCAGATGAAGGCTTAGCAGTTGTTCTTTGGTAATACATGGCATTTGATAACATGGACAGACAAAGCACAGCCATACAACAGCAAACTCTTTGAACCCTGGTGAATCGGCTACGAGGTGGACGCATAAAGATGGAGAACCATAAGTGATTATCAGCAAGCTTACGGCGAGAATTTGTAGAAAATAAATGTGAAAACTCAGTAATTTGTTCTTTACCAGCAACAGGAATTAAACGATCAATCTATAAAACAAAAAATTGCCTGCTAAATATGAAGTAAATATGAAATTTATGAATTTTAATAACTGAAATTTTTTTAATTTTTCGCAGTAAATCATGATAGTCATTAATGTTGCACACAAATACATATATATTAAAAACAAAGCATAAACAAAATTAATTCAACTCATATTCACATTGGAATAATCAAAATATTTAGAAAATGCAAAATTATTGAAAATATATTAAATAAAATCTTTTCCAAAATCTCAAGATAAATTAGTGTTTTAGAAAATAAACAAATATTAGAGAAGTATTACCACAATAAAAATTTTATAAAAAATTCAGAAGCATAATAAAGGCAAATGGAATTTACATCTCCCAGTACATCATCATTAGAGGACTGATATAATGAGAGAAGTAAAAGAAAATGCCTGTGTCTAAACTGACAGTTGCACAAATATATAAATTAACAAAACAACATAATTCAAGTAAAATGTAATCAAATCAGTTTGTGCATTCACCAGTTCAACCCCTAAAGGGGGAGAACATGTTTTGAACAAATCCAAACAAATTAAACAGGATATAAAAAAGAAATGAACTAAAATTTTTTAAATAAACACAAAGAAATATTTCAATTTATTTAACTTTTAAGGAAAGTGTTGTATAGAAAAAACTAAATTCCCTAAACTCAGTGGTGCAACAGCTCTAGTGGGCCACATACTGCTGTGCCCCGAAATCTGCTTTCCTGACCTTCGGCCTCGGAGTGCATCAGCATATGCCCTAGGCAAGTGGTCAGCTTGTAGCAGGATCACTGGTGTTTAATCCCCAAGTGAACTTGGTACTCATTCTATTAACCCATTCAAGGGATGAAAGGCTGAGTCAACCTTGCCCAGCCTGGGGATTGAACCATGGACCTATGGTGAAGCTGCGCTATGCACTAGCCACTTCACCACCAAGCTGTCGTTATATAGAACATGTAAAGCAAAATAATTATAAAAAAACCCAAAAAATATCCCCAACCAACATCTGTTTCAATCAAACAATTTTATCACAAATGAAGTAATTTACAGAACAGGTATAAAAATTTTGAATTGAGAACAAATACATGTGTATGTGTGTATGCTAACAACTAAAAAGGTATAAATTTTAGAGGGCAACACAAATGTAGATCTCATTAAACTTACTTACTAATTTAAAACTAATTTAAAAGAAATAGGCAAATTTAGTAATTAAATTTATGCATATAAGCAATACAAATGGTTTTACATATGATTTAAAGCCAAATAAATATAAAAAAATTATGAATATTGCTTAATAGCCAGCTTTCATCTTTTTTTAATCTGCATAATATTTAATAACTCAAATAGAACTTTGTTTGATCTTCTTCCTTTAAACATACTATAACCTTTTTATTTAAAAAATGAATAAAAAGAACATTAGTGAGCAGTATGTAGTATGAAACAGCTATTTGATAATTTTAATAGTGTGATAAAATCAAACTGAATTTGGATAAATTTCTAAAGAATTCTCAAGAAATATACAGCAAATGAAAAAGAAATGAAAAAAAATCAAGATACTGAAAACACAACATTAAACTATTTTTCACATCAAATTAATAAGCTATGCAGATAAAGAATTTTTTCAAGGGATGTTTTAATGCATTGGACAAAACAGTAAAATACTCTAGAATCATAAAATCAACGAGTAGAGGGAAAATGGCAGGTAAAACATCAGTGTTGATAAATGAAATGTATTTTAACATATTCAATAAAGAAAATAAATATAGAAAGGTACAGTAATGAAAAGAGTTGAAATTTCCCTTACCATGCCATCATCATGTTCAACTGCAAACCACTTATTTATAAGAAATTCATATTTTAAGCCTGTTTGGACATCTCTAAAAACTATGTATTGACAGTACCAAGATGACCATCTCCCAGATCCAGAATTATCATGCCAGATTCTCAAGTAATTTAGTTGACCAAGAGACCTAGTGTAAGGCAAAAATGTATCTCTTTTAAGCTAGAAATTATGGCATGCAATATTTCACAGACATGGCTTATAGTATGAATATCATTTTCTTTTGCTTTCTTTAAAATAACTTTATTTTATATAATTGAAAAGACTTTATTTTTATATCATTAAAATAATACTATAGTTTATAAAAAAAATTTCTATTTCAAGAAATCTCTGAAAGATCAGAACAACAATGTGCCCTCTTGATGCATTCTCAGGTGGGGTTCAAACAAGTTACAATTTACATCTTTCAGCCACTGAACATAATTGTAAAGAAATCACTGATATTCTGTTATCTTCACTGGATCCTTAGCCATTGTAGTTTCCCTAGAACTAAAAATGCAGATAAACTTGTAAAGAAAGCATATCTCTTGAGCTCCTACCTTCATTGCTCATGAAACAAAATATTTGTAGAAAGCAAGCAATTATGTATAAGGATACAGCTAATGGGAAATCCTGAGAAGGTCTCTTGAGCATCTGCATTCAAGGAGATCACCTTTTAGCTACTGTAGCCTCTTCTTTCCATCTACTGAATAGTGATGCCTACTCAGAGCTCATTTATATCACAAAAGTCTCTCTAGATCTTGAGATTATACTTTATGTTGTAAAAATATTGTTACATCTGATTAGTATCTTCATGTCTACTCAGCTTTAACTGGGCATATATACTTCTTATTACAAGATGCTCTCCATTCCAGGACATATTTAATGTTTATATAGGACTGAAAGGCACCTTATGTTAGAAGGTATTTTCTCCCTCCTTTCTGCATGCCTTTGTGGTATAACGGTAGTATACTCAGCGCACATTCGAGAGGTCCAAATTCGAGTCCCAGCAAGGGCATTGCTCATTTTTCACGTCTCCTGGCTATGGTGGACAAAGCTATGGTGGACATTTTGTGTGTACACACATATTCAATTAAAAAAAAAAAAAAAAACACCTAAACATGCATGACATAGGCACCATCATCTGCAGCCTCAGTGTAACAACTTTCTTGCAGAAGCCACAGTCACCCATAAAATTAATTATATAGAAAGCCTTTTGCATGATCCCCAAACCTGGTTTGGTTTATGTGATTATGGCAAAGCCTCGAGGGCTACCTGCCTAAGTGGAGGGATGTCTTCTTGGAGGAGTTTCTAAGAGAAACTGGCTCATATACACATTACACATGAGGAAAACAATGAAAATGCCTATGCAGTCAGTCCGTTCATGGATTTGAATCTCGGACTGAACTACCAGTGTTTAGCGACTTTACCACTTGGCAGCTGGTGGGACCCAAAACCTGGAAATTGAAGCACCACACATGGTGGCTACAGCCTACGAGTTTTGCCTTCTCCGAGAAAGAGTCTGAAAAAGGTCATTCTCAAGAGAACGTCTTCCAATCTGGTTTCTCTCCCCAAACAGTAGTATGAATTCTGTATTAAACATTCTACCACTAAGAATAGCAATTGCAGTACCAGACCAAAAATGGATAACCAGAATTCAGAATTTTTTAAATGGTGTGTTGGAATACCGGCATAAAGAATGTTTACAGAAAAATACAAAAATGCAGTTGCTTCTTTGCATATTCCTTAGTTTTGTAGAAAAAAGGCATTAAACTATAAAAATATAAATAGTTTTGTTATGTACAAATATAAAACAAAGAAACAAATGTTATAATCAAATATTATTAATAAGAGCAGGAAAATAATAATTAATAACAATAAAAATAAATAATATAATGCAAAAATAAATCATTACAGTATTACAATACAATAAATGAACTAAACATATAATATTATCATTAAGAAGAGTTAATATCACATAAAAATCTCAATGCGCAATCTATCATATAGTATATATTAATAGGAAAAAAAACTAATTTATGAAATGCATTTTTTTTAATGTGAGTGTAAAAAACATAATGTATCTGTTGAATTAAGCCTGGAATGCATTTTTGTGCAAACATTACTTGCACTTGAAAATGCTTTCTCTGCATCCACATTGGTTGGTGGTACTGTTAATGACGAGTAATGCACTCCTCCTAAATATTTGCCTCCTAACAAGCTATTGTCCGAAAGTTTTGGATAAATCTATTTTTTGAATTACTTTTGTACAACTGTTTGTGGCAATTATTTTATTTAGGCAACTGTATTTTTTTTTTGAGAGACAATTCTTTTTTGATGATAACATCATCATCTTCAATAAATTGCTCTGGACAGGTTTGTGTTTACTTTTCATAAATGCTTTTGTAGAAATTTATGACAAAGTTAATTAAATCTGACCTCGTTGGCTCTTTTCTTCCTTTTCATTTGTTTTTTTAAAGCTGTTATAATTATGCAAATACCTTAAAATAGTTTCTAGTTCACTATGCCTTTCCTCTATGTGAATTTTCAATGGTGTGCCCTGATTTTTAAGAGATTGCAACATAAAATTTATTGTTGCATTAGCTATTAATAAGCTGGAATTCTTCAAACATAATGCCTTGCCAGCCAGCTTTATTGGAAACAGAAGTGATACAGTTTTAGATATTAAATCAAATTCACTATTGGCAAAATTAATTTGTCATTTAATGCTTTCTGAAACAGATATTTTAATTTCAAAGTCATTAAGAGCAAATTGTTCCGTGTTTTAGAATCTAAAATTAGCATAAGTTATTTTTTCATTTCATTAAGTACAGATTTTTGTAAAATGGCATTTTTTGGAGAAGAACATTTAAATATTTTTAAAACTTTTTTAATTTTCTTAATTATATGAAGCAATCCTTGGTAAGTTAACATTTCATCCTCATTACTATTATCTTCTTCACATCCAGATAAGGCTCAACAACTATATTATTATTTTCCTCATTGTCACTCTCTTCTATCTTTTTTCCTGATTTGCATCTATAAACTTCACAACTTTTTTCATCAGCGTTGTTTCATCAGTAGTTATACGGACAATACCTTATTCTTTCAGAGATAATCCATGTTTCTCCAATTTGCAGTCAATTATTTCTACACATTTTGCAGCTGGAATATTTTCTAAAACATATGCGAGTCCCATATTCCAAATTTTCTTTTTTGAATGAATATTTATGCTCAAGTAGAATTTATTTCATACACTTGTCCATTCATCAAATATGAGGCTGAATTTTGTACTGTTTAATTTTAATTCAGTTAATTCTTTTTTCAGGGAAATGCGAACACTGTTACTATAGTTTATAGCAGTTATTCTGATAGTATTAACAGATTCTGGTATATTTCGGGAACCTCTAGCAATTAATGACTTTCTCAATTTAATAGAAATACAAAACACTCTGTATGACAATCTAATGCTTAACAGTATTTCTGTTAAAAAGTATGATGTCTTTGATCTAGTAATATTTTTTGGTGAACTAGAATTTGTCTCAGATTCTTTTCTTTTCAATAAATTAATGTTATGTTGTGTTTTTAAATGTGTACATACTTTTCCTGTCTGTTTATACTTTTCCAAAAGTTTGAATAATCCTTAAACAGGTCTTGCATCTTGCCAGCATACTTCTCCACCATATAAATAATAAAACCAAGTTGAAGTATTATCAGCAGATTTTTTATGTTCTTTGAAGCCATTACTATTCATTATGGATAAATAAAACTCAAAACGTTTATGTTAAAAATATAAATATTTTGAACAATAAAGTATAATACAAAATGTGTACTTAATTTTGAAATAGTAGTTAACCAATTTAAAAAATATCTAAATATTTAAAATTTTAAAACACAAGCACAATTTCACTATGATTGGAGTTGAACTAAGCAGTTCTTACTCAAGAGCTCCTCGGCAGCAATGCCCTATTCCTACTGAATGTAGGAGTCACTTTTCAAATGTTAACACAGCATTATTCAGGAGAAACAATAAGCTTGAATCAGCCATGTATGCAGATGATATTGCAATCCTGGCCCAAAATGCATTTCTGAGTTCAGTCACACAACCACTACAAGAATATATGCATACATTGGAGTCCTGGATCATTAAATAGAAAATAAAAATTAATGTAGAAAAGTATGAAGCAGTTATCTTCACTCATGGATCCTCCATATTATATATACTGTTAACAAGTTTTGGTCAGCTAAAATTTCACTTCTACCTTAATTTCCTGAAACTCCATTCTATCTCTTGATAATAAGCTAATTCTATATAAGGTCATGCTGTGACCCATCCTTACCTATGCCTTTCCTATCTGGGATTCTTTTTAAGTGACACTCAATTTAAAAAATCGCAGACTCTTCAGAATGTTAGATTAAGACAAATTCCTAAAAGCAAGTGGCTTATTAAAAACACTGCTATTCATGACAAACTAAATGTTGAACTCATCGGTGCATTCAGAGCCAGAATAGCTAAAAAATTCTCTAATAAGTCTATTACACATTGGTATCTACACTAACTACATACTTAATTTGTTTTTGTTGTTGTTGCTCTTTCAGCTAATTTATTCAAAAAATGTAGGATTCCTTTAAAAGCTCTGCCCCACTATCAATGCCTCCTCTTTCCAGCCTCTCAAGAACTCCTTTAACTCCGCATGACTGATAGCCATGCCTGCCTGACTACTTTTTACTCCTTCAACAAATTTTGTTCTCTAGCCTAGGTCTTGACATCTTACAAGTTGTTAGACATCCACCATGCTCCCTCATGTTTTTCTCTCTCCTAATCGCTACATCATTCCTTAATTGCTTATCGTATTTCATGTACTCTTCATATGAAATGCTATATTTGATCTACCAAAGTTCACATTAGAGGTATATCTTCATCTGGATGACTTCATGGCTTGAGAAGTGACTTTTGCCTTTTCCCTCCCTTCCACAACATCATGTTAGCCATACTTCTACATTATATTCTCTTGCTGATGCAGTTCTATACAGGATGGGGCAACCACCCAGGTGCCTAACAATGTGACACAGTTTACCTAAGTCAATAAGTTTGAAGATCATCAGTTAGCAATGGCTATTATTCAGAATATAGAAGCCAAAGTGCTCCAAAGCTCAGTCCTTAGGCCAATCTTGTACCCTTTTTATGCATCTCATTTTCCAAAACCTGATCCAAGAAATAAAAGTCTTTTGCTTGTTACACAGATGAAACCACAACTGCAGTTAAGTCTCTAAACACCAGTCATACAATCAAGAAACATAAAAAATATTCCGGAAGTTTAAAAGAAAGGCGTGTGAACTGGAAAGCATGCATCAGTCCTGACAAGTATCAGCTTCTCATCACCAAATGCCATTGCAAAAAAATACCAAGTAACCTTTCAACATCAACATTCTCAAAGTTAATCAAGCTAAGTACCTTGACATCCCCTTAAATAATGCACTGACTTGGAATAGTCATGCAAGTGAAATTCTCAGCTACAACTATGATGTTTCTGCCTATGATGATAGAAACTCTGCCCTATCTCTAAAAGAAAAGCCCCATGTCTATAAAGCAGGGTTTCTTAAACTGGGGATCGCAGCACCTGCAGCAGGAGATCACCAAAAATTTTAGCAGTTTTGATATTTCCTTAACTTATTATAATAATTTTACACTTACCAAATATTTTTACACAATGTATCTAAAAATAGACAAAGACAATACAGACAAAGGAAAAACCAAAAACATTTCAATGCATTCTTATTATAATATAAATGTTCATTTTCCTTTCTTTGCAAGTGACGCTGTCATTTCGTCTGTTACTTGTTTAAAACTTTCACATTGTTATATGTCTTAAAATTAGAATTTAAAGTTAATGACCTAAAACTGCAATAGTATATTACAGTACAAGTGAAAATAATGACAGTTTCACTCACGTATTTGTTGGATTTGCACAATACTTATGGGTTCCCACAATATTTTGTAAATCTTGTGGGATCCTGGGGGTCACGAGAAATTTTCAGTGATAAAAAGGAGTCACGACTTAAAAAGGTTTAAGAAAGCCTGCTATAAAGCAATCATCCATTCAATCTTCCCTTACGTTTTTCCTACTTGGAACATCATTAGCAATAATAACTTGATAAATATTCAAACTCTACAAAACAAGATCCTTAAAATGATTACCAACACCCCCTATATCATCTGAAACAAAGACATTCATAAAGTTCTAAACATCGAAAATATTCATCCTGAGACAAAATAAATATTTCTGCACTAAAGCCATTATTCATGAGAAAGTGGATTACAAAGGCATTTTTCGCTATGAAATTCTTGAAGATAAATATAACCTGCATCTTTATGCCACTCATCTCAAGCATGGATAATTCTATTTTCCCTCCACCTTAAGCACCCTGCACAGATCAGGACCTTCCATATGCTTTCATCATCATCAACAGCAGTTATCATATCAGAGGATCAGGTGTTCGTGCCTCATCCAATGCTTATTTCAGAACACTGCTCTTTTCTGATCTCATTTTACTCATATTACATCACAGCTACCTGATTCCGCATCACATTTCTGTATTCTTTTGCATCACTGTATTAATTTCATATCAAGTTCTGTACAGTATTAGTTCACTTGTCCTTCTAATGTGTTCATATTATTTATTCAGGAAATTGTAACTGCATCTATTTCTATTATTTAATCAATAATTTTTATTATTTATTATTTAATCAATATTTTTTTATATTTCTTACTTATTTATTTAATAAATACTTTCTATTATTTAATCAATAATTTTTATTACTTTGTCAGAACACACTGTCTATTCAATTATGAGCTTTGTCTGTACTCAGCATCTTTTTATATCATGACTTAGTATATCATTCTTCATGCAATGTTTTGTTTTACATGAAAATTTTCCAAAGTATATTTTTTAGTGTTTGCACAGTACTTCATGTTCCATTGAATCATGCAAAAGGTTCTAATACCCACAAACTTATTTAACCCAAAATCTTCAGTACTTATTCTTTCTTACATTATATCATGTTTTGTACATATTGCTTTTCTCTTTTATTTAAGCATTTTTATTGTCCCTCAGTTTTACTCTAGTACACTGCATTTTTTTTTTTTTTTTTGCATTGTATCTTTCATTGTACATATTGCACATATTTAATACTGCACATATCTAAATTACATTGTATCTTGTGTTGTACTTACTGCTCATCATTAATTCTCGTTTTATTTGCTTACTTGCATTCTCCACATTTTTGTTACTTCACATTTTATACTTCATGTTTTTCACGTTTTTCACTCATTGATTTTTATTCTATTTGCCATTATGCTCTCACCTACATCATCTCCATAGCTATGGTCTGCAGCATTCACGTCACAATATTATCATTATTTGTATTTTCATGAACCTGCGCTGTCATGTATCAAAATCTTTTGGCTAACTTACCATTGATCTTGCAAGAGCTCTATGCCAATCCAGCTGAATGCAAGGGTTCAACGCTTATATATTAACATATCATTACCTAAATTTGTTTCAAGCATTAAAAATAAAAATAAATTTTAAAAATGCAATAGTTTTTTATGTAGAATTAAATACTTGTGTAATATTCAATAAAATTTCTACTAGCTATTGCAAAAAAACTTACTGATGTGAAGATTAGATTTAGATTAACAATTGTTTTTTAAAAGATAAAGAATAAAATAATAAAATTTTATTTAATTAGCTTCTACTTCTTTCTTCAAGTAGCTTACTTTGAAATGCTAATAATAAGCATTTTAAATTAGCTGCACATTTTTCATAATTTTGACAAGCTCACAAAAGTTCAAAAATAAAATTCAGCAGGGATGCTATCAATATTAAATAACATTAGTAACAGAATTTTATCAGCTGGTATGATTTAGTTTAATTTATATGGCCAGCAGTCCAATAAAGTAATTATCAGCAATATTTCACATATTTTCAAAAACATATACAAAATCTGATATTAATTTTATTTAATAAATTAATAACTTATGTGGTAATTTTAATGCTAAAATTTAAGAATAACAAAACAAGTACCTTGGAGCAGACATCACGAAAACATCTATTGATCCCTTTTGAAGTATAGGACGCTTATCATCAGCAAGATGTCGAACTTCGGTTTCATCTTCTTCACCAGACAAAATAAAAAATACCTAAGAGGTAAAAGAAATGAAGAAAACTATAATAAATAAGTCCTGAATATAAAATCAATAATAGAAAGTCATGCTCTATATTTAAAACAAAGAATACAGTTATATGTTCTGTTAAATTTAAGATTTTAAAGCTCACCTTTGATTTAGTTCCTGCATTTCTCTGATGACCAGTAAACACTAGCATTTCATAAATATATTTATCACCAGGTTCATTATCAGGTAATGGTGTTGCTCCTAGCTATAAAAAGATAAATAAATATAACATTGCATTTTAAAACTCTTAAATTAAATTTTAATATCTTGATTATACTGCAACATACCATTTGCTAGTTCTTTTATACTATAATGTTCTCTAAAGTTTAATTATGAAATCATTTTAACAATCTAGCCCAATATTTCAGTAAATTACTATTTGCTAGTGAAGAAGAAATTTAGTATTTCCTATAAGAAATCATAGAAAATAATTTAGAATAATTTAAAAAGAAAATTACCATATTTTGAGAATCTTTTTAAAAATTAATAAACGAATATTTTTGCTGAATTCACAAAGCTGAGTTTGCTGTTTGCGTATATTTTTATTTATTTTATTCAACATGTTTTTGGGACCAAGCAATAGAAATATTCTTGAGCCTTTTGCTGCATTTATATTATTAACAACCAAATAAAAGTTATGATAATTTTTAAGTGAGTTTTTCTCTGCATGTCCTCCTTATAAAAACAAGAAAAAGAAGAAAAAATCTTTTACTTAATGTCAACTATTTCTAGTTTAAGCAAAATTTGAAATTAGTGTTCAATAAAAAATAAATTTAAGAATAAATTCTAAAAACACATCTACATTCATTGAGAAAGTGCTGATAAAAAAAGTAACGTCATTAAAATTCTTGAATCTTCAAATTTGTTTTCATAACATAATAATATTAACAATGATAAAAAGTATTTAAGTAATAGCTAAATTTTTTTACATTTTTCTAAAATCTTTTTAATATTTCAGTCAACATGGTGCGTCTGTGGCATACTATATCTAATTAAAAGGTGTGCTATGTGATAGGAGAAAATTAAATGTGATGACTGAAAGGTTAAATCAAAATAAGCATGGAGTAGAAAAAATTATTCCAAGAGTTAATACAGATAACATTATATATGGAATGCTAAATTTCTATATAATATTTAAAGTGAGGATGTCAGGATCAGCATGAGTTGATACAGATAATTAGGCAGTAGTCAACTGATATGGCAACAACTGCATTTCTACCATGATTCAAAAGATTTAAATGATGAAGATTAAAGTTTTTGAATCTGCTGGCTTGTCTGGTATGTTGGTAAAAGGAGATGTCTGCAATAACATTGAGCAAACATTTGAATACCAAAGAAAGCATGGATGTATGTAACTGTCTATCTCCATTTCTTGCAGGTATAAAATCAGTCACCCAATGTGATGTACCCTGGCTTACATCCTAGGTAAGGAGATGGCTAAATGGATAATAGGTTCATCATTTGCTGATGAATGTTTAGTTATCAAGTTTTTAACTGTTGTATTTTTAAAAAAGTAAAAGAAAAAATAAGATAAAAGCAGAGTTTTGAATTTCGGAGTCTTTTTAAGATTTGTGCTATGTGATGATTTGAATAGTTCATCCCTAATAAAAATTAATTTGTTTTACAATGGAATAAATAGTCTACAGCAAAATAAAAGAAACAGGTGAAGAGAACATTCACATAATTTAGAAAACTAAAACAATTAAATTACTGAAAAAATTAATTTGTAATACCTTCATCAGGTCTTTCCTATCCTTCCACCTTGCATATATGAGGAGTAGAATAAATACAGAGAAAAGGGTGATAACTGTAGCATATATTGCAATATTTTGCTCAATTTTAGCATGTGAAAATACATAGCTGAAATCAATTTCATTGGGAGTCACAAAAAATCCACTTCCAAAAGATGTGAGATGATTGCATTCACAGCATGTGGCATTAGAAGTGCTTTGTATAACCTATATAAATTTAAATTTTTATTATTGTTTTACCACAGACATACATTTGTTACTCTCTTCAATAAACAACATTTTGAAAAATATAGGAATTTGATATTTGAACAAATCTAAAGAATATAATTTTTAAAAAATAAATATGAATATTTTATATAAATTTATATAGACAAAGTAACAAAATTAATGAATATGAATATGCTAAATTTTGATTTTGAAAGATTATACAGCTAATACTTCAGTACTTCATATCTTCACGTCTTTTATTAAATTAAAACAATTTCAGATAAAATCAATATAAGATAAGCAAGCTTCTCTGCTAGTCTAAATAGTTCCTTTTTACTCCAAACAAAGTCTTCAATTTAAATAGAGTATATGTTTGTGCATTGTTTCATGCAAATAAAGTTAATATTTTTGTGAATTGAAGATAATTTAGCTAAAATTTTATTGCAATAGAAAATATATTAACCTAAATCTTAAATCCAATAAAATATTTGCTTAGCATAAAAAATGCAAATATAAATCTTTTAGTGATGTACAAGATAAAAACTACAGAACAAACTACCAAATTGCTTTTCTGCCTTGAAAAAACTTAAGGTCTGATAATGATTTTTAATTCTGAAGATTCAGCTAAAACAACAATTAAAAATTCCCAAATCTGAAATTCATATTACATACACAAAATAATAAGCTTCCAAATTTTATAAATGGCACTAAACTGAAAGCATTTTCTAAATGGACAGAAAATAAATGTTTCCAAAACTATGAATCTAATCACCAGCATATGATTTAACTTAAGTATTTAAACAGACTCAAAATAATTATTTTCTGTATTAATTGCATGAGAGCAATGTTAGATGTAATTAATTATATAGCAAACATTTAGTATTCACATAATCATTTAACCGCTATATATGCAACAAAAATATATATATTTGTATTTTTTGTATTTTACTTTGTAGTGATTTTTTGCTGTGAATTTGTATGTTTTTTTTTTTTTTTTTTTTGATAAGAACAACCACTTTGTTAAATAAAAATATGAGATGCTTTGTTTTTCAGCTGATGTATGGCTTTCAACAAACATACTCAAGTGCTGCTCCCACAATGATATTATAATGATGGCAATTTAGTTGCTGAAGCTTGCTCATAATTTCAGTGCAACTACAAAACTTCAACAATTTTCAATTATTTGAGTGCTTTTGATTTAGTTTTTTTGGTACACAATGAATGTTCTGAAATTAAAATTAAGGATTTATGGTAATGTATAGAATGCTTTGCATGAAAATGCTGGATGCATAATTTAAATAAATGTCATTCTCTTCTTTATTTTAATTTATTTATTTTTAACTAGAGATTATTTATTCAGGAAATCAGCTGAAACTTCTGCAATAGTAAAAGTTTCAAAAGTAGATTCATTATGCAGAGCTTGCAAGCATTTCATTTGAAAGCATTTGATGCTATCATCTTGATTTTAATGCATGAATTTCTTTTTCTATGTGTCCCATTTATCTCTGAACTGCACAAAACCACATTAACTTGAATTTAGAGGTAAAATGAAAGAGTCTCTGCTTGCATGACAAAACGAGATGATATCTGATTAAAAAAAGAAATGGAAAAATGAAAGGGTATCATCTGAAGGGAGTGATTAAACTGAAGAAGTATCTGGTTAAACAGAATAGCAAAATGAAAGGGCCTTGAATGTGAGTGGCAAATTGAAAGGATAACCCATCAGAAAAGTTCATAATAAGACATTATTTCAACAGACTGAGATAACAGAAAAGTTGTTCTAAGACACAAATGTAAAAAGCAGTTAGTTATTTGAGAAATGTTCAGAATTTTTTTATTATAATGAAAAATGGCACCAAACTGATAAAAATGTTGGCTCAAGTTTCCAATAGATATTTTAAGAACTTTTATGAGAAAATATTCTTATACTGTTTCATATAACAACATAATAATACATATCTAATACAATATTTCATAAATAACATAATAATCTTTACAACATAATAAAAATTATAAAAAAGACATGGCATAAAAACTGCATTCAAAATTTATCCAGAATAATGAAAACCCAAAATAATTATTAAACATAAATAAAACTTTAACAATGTATAACAAAACATACAAAGAATATAAATTTTTGAAGAATTTTTATCTTTATTTTTTTCATAAATTTATGAAGAATTCCAAATAGCATTTCTTCAGAATTTAAATAATTTTATATCGAATTAAAAATTTAAATGCATTTTGCAATATAACCAGCAAACTTCCTGAAAACTGAACTACAAACATCATGCACAGAAATTCATACATTTATATTATTTTATTGAAAATACTTCCTCCTCATGCAGAGTAAAATGAAAAGCATTTACTCCAAAGCAGATAATAAGAAATATTTTGAAGCTTACTTTACATCCATTTGTACTCCACTTTTCAGCTTCCTCATCAAAAAAGTAACATCCACTTGTAGTAATTTTAATTGAGTAATTGGTGCTAAACTGATTTGTCATATTTACAACTGACAAATTGTATTTTCCTGGATTATCCAAAAAGAGTTTCATATTTGTATTGTTGGCTAGATGACCAACTGCCACAGACAAATTTTTTGCCCCTTCAGTTATAATGTCCGAGCCAATGAAAAGACTATGTACCCCTATAAATAATAATAATAAAAAAGCAATTAATCTAAAAAAAAAATCTGACCCAATGACTGCGAGGTCTACCCCGCCAAAAAAAAATTCTGGCTGAATACTTTCTGATATCCACAGTCTCATTTAACCCCAGAGAGAAGTGAAATATAACAGACATATTTTCGAGTACATATGCAACAGATCATACTACACACACATAATAGAGATACATGCATATTAGAGACATGTTTGAGTACAATGCATTATATTTGACTACCATTACAAAATAGTATCTACGGCTTTTAAAATGTAAATATCAGCAATTTAGATATTTTTTCATGATAAAATTTTAAGTTTCTTATATAATACTTTGTTTTGTTATTAATTATGAATAGAACAGCATTTGTCAGTTGCTAAGATAGCCAAATATTCTCCATTAATTCACAAAAATCACTAATTACTTGGAGAATATCTATTCACAAAAATCCCTAATTACTTTCTGGTTATCCAAGCATAATCAGAAAGTACACCTGGCTCCTTAATTAATTATGCCCCTTTAATTAATTATGTCCAAAAATTCAGTCTGAGGAAAATCTCCTGATAAAAAAACTTTCTATGAGAAATTAATTTATATTTACTCAACATCTATGACATCAACATTTTTATGAGAAATTTATATGAAAACCATGAAAAAAAAAAAAAAAAAAAAAAAAAAAAACTGTGAAATTAGCTTCAGCAAGAGAGAATTAAATATGATATGAAACATTTATTAATCAGTACATTTAAGTACAGAGGAAATCATTCATCTGCATCAATGTAATGATTATAAAAAATTCATAAAAACATTTACATAATTTATTTTGAATTTAAAAATTAAAAAAATTTAGAGAAATTCACAACCCCCCCCAAAAAAAAATGATTTTCTTGCCTATATTAATTTTTTTATATATATGAATAGGAAAGAGGAAACAGTTGGATAAAAGTAAATAGAATTAACATTTGAGATTATAATGCAACAAAATGATACGTAAAGTATTAAATACATAAGTATTTCTAAAAGACACCAGAAATAAACAGAAAAGGAAAGTTAATACTAGCATGTTTTAACATATTAATTGAAAGAAACAGGAAACAAAAACTACTGATATTCAACATACTGCAAACATATCTCAAAAATTAAATATTTATAAAGTAATTAACTTACTGCAGTTAACACAGGAGCTACAATGACACATATCTAAAAAAAAGCCTACTAAACCACATATTTTAAATACTAAATTATACTAACTTCAATACTGCAAGATAATCAAATTGAATTATAATAATATTTTGGCTAAAATGAATAATAATAATAATAAAGAAAAGATCTGTAAAAAATTCTTCTTGCAAGTATCAAATAATAAAGATTTAAATATACATTTTTCTAATACGAAAATCTAAGCAAATGTATCATTTGAGAAAGAGTATCATTTTATCCAATTAATTTCTGAAAGATGTAGTTAGAGCATGAGTGTAACAAATGAAAAGCATTAATGAATAAACTACCATAATTTCCACACTATTATTTACTTTAAAGAGGCCTACACTCCAATAAAATTATATAATAATTAACATTCCCAAAATTTAATGAGATATCTGTATTAATGAGATCTCCTGTATCTTGAGTCTTGCCTGTTCTTATTGCTGTCCACTACTACTCCATAATCCTCAAATTATTTAATACTATCAGAACTGTTGTCTAAGTCATCTACTATAGTTTGCCAGTCACATCACCCTTGTTGTCTGCATCTTCATCACTGCTCAGTCTGTCTTCTTGCATGTAACCATCTTCAGAACTGTCATGAGCATTAGATACCCCATTTTCTTGAAACTTTTCACTATTATTGCTTCAAGAGTCCATGAGTACAATTAGTCGAACAAAAACAGTTACTATGCAGGCGAATCCATTTGGAAATTTAGAAAAACTCACTTTCTGAACATCTTAAGGATGGGAGAAATTATGTGAATACTTAAAAAAATTTCAGCAGAAAAAAATAAATAAATAAAATAAAAATTTCAGCTACTTTGTGATAAAGCTGAAGGGATAAGAAAAATACATGAGTAAATATGTATAATCGCATAATACTAACAGAAGTTAATAATTTACATATTTGTGCTCAAAAGGTAACTCTCAGTCACCATTCAGTGTCATCCGTTAACTCAAGAGATCATAGTAAAAATGACTTCAAAAAATAGAAAATTTGAATCTGCAGACTGGTTATAAGCTGATTATTAAGAATTCATTTTAATCTTAGAATACTAAAGGCTGAAAAATAAATCACATTGTTACTTTCTTCAAGGTCCCAACAAAATGAAGGCCGATTCTGTTCTGCACCACTTGAACAGGGCAGCAAACATATATGATACCAAGGAACAGATGAATGGACTGAAAAATAACTGACATATGCTTCCAGCCTATCAAATGCAACTGTGTCCTGAATAAATGCATATTAGGATTTCAAAATGCATGTGTATAATGGGACCACACATTTTTCAAGGAATTGGAAAAATAAGATAATAGCATATATTCAATCATTTCTGCAATACTATGTCACTTATAGTCAAGAATTTTTTTAAGAATGCAAAGCCACCATATGTAAGACGGATTTACCTCGGTCCTCCAAAACTGAGATGTTACATGGAAACATTTTAACTTTCCACAAATCAGAAAATCTAGTTTTCCAGCTAGCAAAAATGATGATTGCTCTGCAATTAAAAAAGTACATCATTGGCTGATTTTCTTGAAACAAATTACAGATAGTGCAGCTGTGCACAACTGAATAAAGGAATATTTTTAAGTGCTGTTGTTACATATCATAATCCTAAGCTCTAATGAAAGATGCACCTACATCTAATGCTCACATGGTTGTTTTGATCTCAGATGTTTATATTTTTGATGGAAGATTATCCATCTTACAATCACAATGGAATATTAAACAATTTTAATTTCTTCCCTCCTCTGAAAGAACATTTTGGCAGCCAGAGATTTCTGGATACTAAGAATATCAAAAAAGTTGTGACATAGCAGCTCAGCAATGAAACCCTGCATTTTACAGGATGGGCATTGAAATACTTGCTCCATATTTATACAAATGCCTCAAAATTAGGGTAAAATAAGGTGTAAAATGGTAACATAAGATATCCATTAGAAAGCCTGCAGTATGAGAAATTATGTTAAAATGTATTTTACTTTAGTGATACAAATTTTATACCGTGTGCAGTATATTTCTAATTTCTGTATTAAGATAAGATTAAAAACAAGGAAGAAATGTTAAAAGGAATAAAAAAGAGCAATATGAACTTACAAGATCATTAAAAGAAAAGCATTACCTTTTTCAGATGGTATATCTTGTATCTGTAAAATTTCATCATAATCCAGAAGTGATGGCTGTGCACCATATTTATAAAGAACCACCAGAGGTGCATCAGAATTATCAGGCTTAATATAGACACTAACACTAATTCCAAAAGATTCTATAAGTATAGTATGATACACCAAGATATCATCATATCTTGAAAACTTGGGAATTATATATTCCATTTCCTTTTTATCACTACTGGAAACCGGAATGCATATTACAAATGGATCTTTAGTATTGTTTACTGGAATAGTAGAATTTCCTTCTCGGGGTGTGATCTCAATTTGTATAACATTAGAGTTTTCACTCAAATTTTGTGAATTAGCCACATAAGATTCCAGAGGTTGTGTCCAGCGAACAGACTGAAAGTTATAAAGAAAAAGAAAATTAGCACAAATACAAAACAGTTAAAAAATGAATGCAGAGAAAGTGGACGACACAAAATAATAAATAGAATGTTAGTTAAGCAAAAAAAATCTATTAAAAGAAACAACTGTTTTAAATAGCATAGTAACGATAAAAACAGTTTATAGCAACAGCTGAGCAGTGTAATCAATGTAATGTATTTTATATATTTTTCTTATTAATTTTGCCTGTTCAGTATTTAATAACAAATCACTGATTTTACCAATAGATATTCACTGAAATATATAATATACATAATAACTAAAACTTGTTTTAAAAATCTAACAATTATGTAAATGTCACCCACACACATCAATAATAATTAAATTAGCTTCAGAAACATTCATGAAAAATTTTATGGAGTCAACTGAAATGCCCAGTATGCTTTAAAATGCAGTATGCTTAAATAGTAAGGGAACAGTAAGTATGCTTTTTAAAAATTTACAGAGGATTAGAATTATGAGGAGAAGCATATGACAGTAGGAGTCACATGTAAAATGAATGCAAAAGTGTCCAACAAAGAATAATTAATTTAAATCTGCATGCAATTCATATAACTTGTTTATCACATTCATTTAATTTCTTAATTTGTAGAGATATTAGGATTTTTTGAAAGCAAGAGACTTGAAAAATGAGCAAACCCCTTCGCTGGGAATCAAACCACGGACCTCTGGAATACGTGCCTAGCATGCAGAACACACCATGAACGCATGCCAAGAAAGCGAGAGAAATGCCTTATAAATTAATGATGATATTCGTATTAGAACATGCTGCAAAGACTTTTTTTAGAAATACTATATTTTCTGCTGTAATGAAAGTATGGAAAACATGGGAAAATATTTAGTGTTTAATGTGAAAGAAAGGGAAAAAAAGGGAAAAAAAGCCATTTAAAAAACTCATTATGAAAGACATCTTTTTTTTTTAAATATTATCTTGTTTACAGCATTGCTTAAAATTAATAGCATTAATGAACCATTGAAGACAAATATACACATGATAGAACTAGTAGTTCAATAAATAAAATATGAAATGAAATACTAAATTTATGATCACAATCTGACAAATGTTTAGATGAATCAAAGAATGCAGCACAAAGCATGAGCCTTTCAGAGAATTTCCCTGAGAAATGAATTAGGGAAGAGGAAATTATTTTCTGAGTTGGCTAAAGATTAACTATGAGAATCTGTAAAAAATGGCACATTTTTTTAAATAACATAATAATCTTCTGATGTAGTTATTTATACAAATAGGAGATAAATTCAAAACCTACCTAACATTATTTGCAAGTTTAAATTAATAAACCTCAGTTTCAGTGGCCAATATTTAGCCATAAATTTATATAAAATATCACAGCTATTTATATCTAAATCCTAATTATTAAATCATATTTAATGGGGTAGTTAAATTTTATGAGTATTTTTAGATTTAACTTTTTAGATTTCTCCTTTTTATTTTTTAGATCACGTGTTTTTCCTTTTGAGTTCTTTCTTTCTTTTTTTTTAATTCAAGTAGTTTTGGATATAAGTATACTATTCCAGAGGGCAGATAATAATAATAATAAATATATTACAGCCTGCTTTACCTCTCATTGGGCACTACAGGTTGGTCCAAATCCTCCTGGTCAGTGCATTAGCAACCCTCAGTTGAACAATCAACTTTCCTTTATTAAAATTAACTACATTACAATTTGTATATCCTTCTGTTGGGTGTTGCAACTTACAGTACTTTTGTTGTTGTTAGTAATACAATCAAACTGGTTAGTAATAAAAAGTTAAAAAAAAAAAAAAAAAAAAAAAAAAAAAAAAAAAAAAAACCTATTTTCAAATATATACATGAGAGGCTTGCTGCCTCTACAATCATCAGATTGATTATTTGACACAGTCAGTTTGATATCAGATTTTGTTAACTTGATATAACATAATCATGTGAGCCGTTTTTTGCCCATAACAATAGCACAAGAGTTCTTTGTAGCCTCTGATGTTAAGAGGCTGACTATGAGAAGCCTGTAGAATGCTTGTCATCCTTCAGTCCATGATGTAGTGGATGGGTGGCCTGGATACCACAAATACATCTGACTTCCTGTCTGAAGGGTAAAGTATTTGAGAAACTTCCCATGGTTAGTATAAGTCTGCAGTAGGTAGAAATCTGTCTTAAGCCTCTTTATTGTGACTCTGGAAAACAGAGAGTGAGTGAACCTTCCAGTATCTCCATTACCCCTGCTGTCTTGCCAAAGAGTATAGTAGGCATCATGAATCATGTTTTTCACAACTTCATCTGAATATGGAACGTCCATATCCGTGGCAATACATGAGGTGGCATTCTTCACTAGAGTGTCTGCTCTTTCATAATCCTGCAGACCTTGCATCCAGTTGATTGACAGTATCTTTAAGTTAGCCAAGTTACTGATAATCTTCTTGAGTGACGATAGGTGAAGCCTTTCTTATTAAGTTCTTGTAGAATGCTCATGCTGTCCATAAAGAAGGAAATATGGTTGTAAATTTGGCTACCCGCCCATAGTGCCGCCTTCCTGTGTGCCAGTGATTTGGCCTGGAAAACAGACAAGTAGTTGCTAAGCCTGTACTTGTCTGTATGTAGTTCCACAGGAGAGATAATTGAATTTTCAGTAATTACAATGTATTCCATGAATTTGCTTTCATTAAGTAAGAAAAAGTAAACTTTTAAGTCATGCAGTTTCTTCACACACTTCTTTCCAATAAAAATTAAATAAGCCTTGTCGATATTCTGCTTTTCTAGTTGGTGCATCTATTGTTCCAATAGCTGAATTACTAATCAGCAACTTCAATATCAATAATTCTAATCCACATTATGTTTTGTATGTGCTATTATTTTAATTGTCATGTTACTATCTACATATATTTGTTTTTAAAGAACAAGTATTTTTTTAAATACTAAGATTCTTTATACATTCTGATGCTTTAATTTTATCTTTTGCATTTATTTAAAGAAAAAAATTAAAGATAACTTAACTTAAAACTGCATCTAGTTGTCAGAATCTTAGAGCTGGCACTGCCTAAGAATATTTCACACTGCATGTAACTCTGTGATAGTATAGAATATGATCATGTGATTTACATTAAGCCATTTTGTTTGCTTTGCAGTTATGGTTCTCAACATTTTTTGCTACATGCACCCTTTTTTACCACTGGTAGATGATCATCCACCTCTTCTTTCCAAAACTCGAAAAATAAATATATATTTATTTAAATTTACATTAGTATTTTTAATGTGTTTTATAAATTAAACAACAAAAAGTATACAAAATGTTGATAAATACCAAAGTTTGAATAAAAATAGTTTTTTATATTCATAAATAAAACTAAATACTCAAGAGGTAATTAAAAGCCTGACTGCATTACCCCCTGAAACTATGTAATTTACCCCTGGTTGAGAACCCCTGCTTTACAGCAATGGCCAATATTTATTTGTTGCAAAGAAATTTGAGCAAATTACCTGCCCATATTCATAATGCTTCACATCATGATGGCAAAGAGGTATTCCAACAAAATAATGCAATATGTCATCAGGTGTATTAACTGATTAATCAATTAAAGCATGGAGCATTAATGTTATTTCACTAAGATTGGGTTGGATTCTTTGAAATATAGTAAAGCAAATAAGAGTTAGCTGCTTAAAGGAAAAGATGCCTTTGTGGAGACCTTTTTATGGGAACTGGCTTTTATTCATGTTACAAACTGGAAAAACCATGCAAACTTCCATGCAGCCAGCATATTCACTTGGATTTGAATTTAAGTCAAATTACCAGTTTTCAGCAATCTTACCATTCAGTTGCTATGGTTAGTTTTCTTTTTTTTTCTTTAATGCGATGCCTTCATGGAAGGCTTTTCTAAAAAATAGTTTTCTATTAAGGTATACATCTTGAATTTACTTTATACATGAGGAAAATAAATTGGCTTGTATTTACATTCCAATGCAACTAGTTAGGATTTAAACTCAGGTAAAACTACCAATGTTCAGCAGTCTTAACTACTTGGCCACTGCTAAGCCTATCACTAGTCTAGATTTCTAAGAAGTGAATCAAAATACATTGCACTGGCAATATGATTTGATGTTCACAATTTTCTGATTCAAACTTGTTGGAACATTTGAGAGATACAATGCAAACTAGCCTATGGTTCATGAATCCATTACCTGATGAGGAAAAAAAAAAAAAAAAAAAAAAAAATTCTGTGCTGCAGAATTAATGGACAGCTTGCATACAAAAACACTAGTAACTTGTTGAGCCCATGCCTTGATATATGGCTAACTTTTGAAGACTTAAAACGAATTGCCTATTATTATGTACTTGGCCAATAACTTTTAATATTTCAATGTATTTTGAGCATAGTATTAATGCCTATAATCTTCTTTTGTAATCAGATTATTTCAAACTTTTTAACTAGATTTCATCATGTGATCAGTAACTACAAATATAATTATAAAGCTTCCTTTCCTGCTATGCATATGAGGCAAGCATCTCATAAATAGATTTAAAATAGTAAGCAGCAATAACAGATGCCCCACTAAAATTATTTCCATTGCATATGACACAAAGAAAACAAAAGAATAACAGATCTGTTATACATATGACCCAAATAACATTAACACCATTAATACAGCTTTTAACTATTATCATAACTTTTGAAATGAAGTCACTGAATACTGTTAAAAGAGTTTTAATATTAAATTAAGAAGTTTCTATTACTTAAATCTTGAGAAAGTGAAGAAAGATCATAAGATTGCTAGAATGTTAAAAGCAATATAGCTTCTGAATTTTGACATTTAATAACATTTTTTAAATCCATGTGCATTGTTTGAAAGCTGTAAAATAACCATGCAGATATTAAACTAAAAGCTATGTTAATTAGATTTCTGAACTTAATCAAATGATGACAAGTGAAAATTTGTATCACTTTAATACTGGACGAAAAAAAATTACTACTGGAAGAGAAGTAAAAAACAGATGAATCACATCAATTTCAATGACATTCTTCAGTATCTTCTTAAACATTTTCAGGTGTCAATTAGCTCTCCAGTAACTACTGTTATTTTACTTGAAAATAAAACATCCTCAAATATAAGACTGTCCTTAGATTTTAAAATAAACTCTAAGAAAAAATAAAAATATAGGTGAATATTTATTTCGTCTTGCTAAACTCTATGAAAGAGAATCTCAGCTTTTTTCTCCTCCTTCCTTCAGAATTTCCTTAAACTGACAGCACCATCAGATATGAGCCAAGGACACTGTTAGCAATACATTGTTACCTATTTGTTTTCACACATATCAGTGACCAATATAGCAAATTCAGACCTAAATTGAAACCGCTCAGATGGACTTTAAAATTACATATGTGATTTTTAGTATTTAAACATCAATTATACTGAATAGTATGATAATTAAAATTTTCTGCTCATTTTGAAATTTCATTTATCAAAATAACTGATTATAAGATTTAAAAAATTTTTAAAACAAAACTATAGCAAAAACAATTTTTTTTTCTAGTAAATATGGTATTCCCTATTCTATATTTCTGTTGTTAAGCAATAATATAAAAATAATTTTTGTTGTGATGAAAACCTAAAAAATTAGTTATGTTTTACTGACTTTCTCAGTAAAAGGTGCGAGTATTATAATTTACATATATATTATATATATATATATATAAAAACTAATAACTTTTTGTAACTGAATGGGAGGGAAAAAGGCCACATCTAGCAGCAAAATCTAACTAGAATTAATATCTAGAATCTATATAAAAGGTTTTAATTAGTTTTTTAAATATTATTTATATATTTATTAGAAAGCAAAAATCTATTCATTTTCAATGGAAATATAGAAATTATTAGAGACAATTAAGAATGACCAAAAGATAGAACATTTCACTAGTAATTTAACTTGTGTTTAAAACTGATTGAAGCTTGGAAAGGGGAAAAAATGCATTTACTTGTATTCCAATAGCAAAATCATTCTGATCACAGTTTTCAATTTCTAAGGCTTCACATATGTTTGGAAGAATAAATGAAGATTCTCCTTGCTGAATTACTTCACCAGATAAATTTGAGGCATAATTTCTAAAAACATGAATTTAAAAAAAAAAAAAAATAAGGTCTCTGAATGTATAGGAAAATAAAAATCTGTTCAACATACTTATTAATATTTTTACAGTGTATTCAACATAAACAACTTCTTCAATTTCACTATAATTTTTCAGATACACAAACATTTATTTAAATAAATGCCTCAAAATATAAAATATTCTTGTTTAATTCACTGATATGATACGTATCATTAACAAAGGTTGATAGTTGTTTTAAATGAAATCAAAATAAGGGCAAGAACTGAATACTATAATTTTCTAAATTTAAGCATACATAGTAAATCTTAAGAATTTAGTGAATATTAAAGCTAAATAGCAACTATAATTTCTTAGGAGAAAAATGATTTAAGAAATAAAAGGGATTAAATACTTTCTGTTACGGATTTCATTTTCCTGCAGCATTTCTTCAAAAATTATTAAAATGTTACTGTAATGAAATATGCAGTTAAGTATAAGAATGGATTCTCATAAAAGTAAGACAAACTGTATTTGTTAGTCCAAAATTTAATTGTGCACAAATAAAAGAATGACAAGATATGAATTATTATAATGTATACTGAGTTTGCAAATTAAACAGTAGTTTTTAAGAGACGACAACATGAAGCATTGAAAAGTGTTGTTATAACTAACAAATTAAGACTTGGATCTCACCTAGCAACAGACTGCAACTCAGAACCTAAATTTAATCTTGCAGTAATTGTGTATCCTGATCAGAAAATTGTTAAATAACCATCTTGTAAGAGTGTTGTTAGAACATTCCTACTATTATGACCAGTATACTAACTACCTAAGAGACACTAAAGAATATGGGCAATACACTGATCAGTCACTTATTTAAAGATTATATTTAGGATCCTTTCTGTGGAAATTATGCAGGTTTTCTCAGGCTCAAGGAGTTAAGTATGGTACAAGAAGAAAAACAGAATTTCAAAAGAATTATTTCTTTGTTATGCTAAGATAAATAAAAGATAATTTTATATCATGAGTTGTTTTAGTAAACTGTCCCATATATTAAAATAAAATACAGCAATTATAGAATAAAATGAATTGGTATTGTAGATTTACTAGAATCCAATAATCATGCTTTAACAATAATTCCTTTTTACAGCATTTTTGGTAACACAAAGGAAAAAAGCCCAGGCAAGAAAACAAAGATCTTTATGAGTATGTTCTGGTACCCTAGTCACTGTCTCATATACACAAGCAGCATTACTAATAACATACCATTGTAACAAATTATTTTAGAAAGGAAAGTAAAATACCTTTCTCTGGAAAAAAGCTATAACTATTGATGGCAGATTGAAAATATTAAATTTAATGGAAATTTCAACAATAAAAAACTTATTAACTTAACAACAACAGATTTCACAAAACTGTCCAAGTAGTATCATTTTTATGCAGTCATGAAATCTGCTATCACTTGGTAGTGGTTTATTACACCACTAATTTGTTTATTAAATAATAAATAACAAGAAATAAATGAATTATTGGACCAATTTTTTCAGATAATTGGTTTGGTAATTGGTATTGGTTCTGCCAATTGATTTAGGCACTACCGATTTGTAATATCATCCCAGCCTTTGCTCTAGCAATCTTTTTTAGCAATTAATTTTTTTTTTTTTTTTTTTTTTTTTTTGTGTGTGTGTGTGTGTGTGTGTGTGTGTTTTTGTCTATTCAAACAAAAATCACAAGACTCCTGATGTTAGTAATTACCTTATCCTATGTTAATAAACACTACACACAGTATATATAAGTGCTGTCACTTGGTAAATATTACTTTTTAAAAAATATAATGCTTTGTTTTTTTTAATGACCAAGGTATTATCTTAAGGAATAGAAGGTCACAAAAGCAAACAATAAATAATATGAGCAAATAAATACTGTTTAAAAACTAGTACTTATTTTAAAAATAAAAAAAAAAAAGTCTTATTATTCAGAGGGTTAAATCCTGAAACATAATGTGTTTTCCTAAAAACAAGACCTAATCAAAAAACAAGCCCTAGCACAACTTCTCATGATGCTTGTAATATAAGATCTATACTTAAATCAAGCTACCATCTATACTTAAATCAAGCTGCCAAAATCAAGCTTTTGTTAAGATCGTCAAACAGATTTATGGCCAAATTACCAGCTGAAGTACAGACTCAATACGTGTATGTATTTGACACTAAATAGATGTTGTGAATATTCATATTCAATTCTTCATAACTCAATATGTAACCCAATATAACAGATGTACTTCATTATAATCATGTGAAATAAACTAACAACTTGGTTTAGTAAGAGATTTAAACAGAATAACCATTGCTTCCTAAAATGATGAGTATAAAAATCAGCTATCGTATCAGATACAGGAAAGGAATAATGGAGAACTTCTAGGGTAAGAAGGTATGAAAAAGAGAAGTTAGATATCAGAAAATAGCAATCAGAATACAATGATCTGCAAGAGGTTATGATTTAGATGAAGAATTCATGGGATGAAAGCACTGATAGCTGTATTATCAATGTATTACTAGCTGACTACAGAGACAAAAAGTATATTGTTAGACATAAGATTAGGGCCAATTCTATAGGAAATGAAGTCATAAGAAAATCAGGCTAAATGAAATTTGGAGTTTTATGACAAGGTAAAAAAAAAAAAAAAAAAAAAAAAAAAAAAAAAAAAAGACGATGATGATATGATTGTATTTGAATAAATGCAAAACTTTTTTAAGGAATAAATAAATAAATGTAGATTCTTCAATATATGAATAAATGTTGATAATTGTAAATACTAAATGCTGTACATGAACAAATACGACATCCCCTAAAATAAGCCCTAATCCACCTTTGGGATTTCTTATTTTGGGTAAAACGTTGAAGAAACACAGTAACCTTTCTTCAGCAATTAAGTATTAAAAATTCAGAGACAGAATTCAGCTCAGCCTTAATTAGATCAACAAAACAGATTAATCAACTAATGAAATAACTGCTATTTCAATTATTCCACTGGTTAGATGGAAATGGAATGTTTGTGCAAGAATTAAATAGATATTACTTTATAAATGTCATCTGAAATCCATTTCTAGATTCCGTGAAGAAAGGTTCAGGGGAGACCATTAATTCTTCCATGCAGTTCTGCTGAATATTTGAAATCATGTCTTTCATTTTAATAATCATTTCTTTTGCCTTAAAAGAAGAAGGAAAATAGATCTTAGATACTATTATAAACAATAGTTTAGGAAAATATTAAACTTAAATGCAAGACAATTTTAACAATAGTTCCTTTTTTATAATTTAAAACCTATTTGGATTTTGGTTAATTTTGCATTTAAGGAAACCAAATGAACTAAGAGTGGATGTAGCAAAAAAATTAAAAGAAAGCAAAGGAACAGAGAAAGATATAGAAGCTGAAATTTTTATAAAAGTTCAAAAACTTCAACAGCATCTTTTGATTGCCCACAAATTTGTATCACAAACTAATAAAACTCACTTCATTTAATGCTTAAAATTCTAATGTTTAAATGCAAAAAGAAATTTTATTATAAAACTTACATCTTCTTGATTACTATCTTTTGCAGCATCGACAGCTCTAGTTTTAAGGCGTTCAGACACTTCTTTATGACTTCCCTCAACTATGAAAATATTACAAAAAATGAACAAATTTGCAAATAAAATAGTTTTGATTATACAAATGAGGTGATTAACTACAAAATTGTGAAGAAAAATGTCTTGCGTAACTTCTCTCATGAGTTTGAAAGACTTAACAATTTTACAAAGCAGCAGCATCTACCTTTCTGTAAAACACAATATAATACGGAACTGCTTTTAATTTAACTAAGGTTAGTGAAATAAAAATTTTAAATTTATTTTATAAGGTATTTCTCTCGCCTTCTTGGTGTGGTGGTCTGCACACTGGACACGTATTCCAGAGGTCCGTGGTTGGATTCCCAGCGAAGGCGTAGCTAATTTTTCATCTTTCCTGCTTTAAAAAATAACCTAATGACTCTACTGTGGCGCCTGAAATAAAAGGGTGTTGGATGATAATTCTTCTCACCCAGGATTTGGCAATTGGGTCCACCTAAAAATCCAGTCATCGTTTAAAAGGGGGAGTATATAAGGTATTTCTCTAGCCTTTATTGCATACCTTCATGGTGTGGTGGTCCATACGCTGGACGTGTATTCCAGAGGTCCGTTGTTCGATTCCCGGTGAATGCACTGCTAATTTTTCATCTTTCCTGCTTTAAAAAATAACCTAATGACTCTACACCTTTATATATTGCACCTATTTCGAGATTTTATTTATGCTTTGTTTGATTTTATGAACTTTAAGTAATCAAGATGTATAGCTTAAATCCTGATGTGAAATAAAAAATACTCTCTTTAGAAAGTCTTCAAAAAAAAGGAAGTTATATGACCCCTACAGAGGAAAATTTCCTGTTAACAAAATACTCATTATTTTTAAATAATATAAATCACTAAATTATAAAAATTATGGTTTAGTGAGTCAGAAAGAAAAAGTTTGTCATCCTCATAAAAAATTCCTAGATATATTCCACATTGGAATGACTTGTTTTTACACTCTGAATGTAATTACACATGTGTGATCATAAATTTGGAGAATATTTAGAAAACCTTATTTTTCACTGATTATTTTTTTAATTAATTATTTAAATTTTATGTTAAATTATTATTAATTAAATTTATTAAATTTGTAGCCAGCCCTTAAAAAGTTTTTAATAAACATATTTTTTGAATTCTGCTTATGAAGTTATGGCATATGTTACTTTTAATTAAAGCATAATAAGCCAATTAATTTACTGGAAATTTTGCTTTATAAAGAGCATATACAATATTTAAATAGTTTCTACAGAATTATTTACTATATTTCAAGAAATTTAAATTAGAAGTACAAATTGGAAATGGCAGTTTTTTAGGAAATAAAAATATTTAAAATTTATGGTGTAATAGATACACTTGCATAATAAACATTATAAACCTTTATTGTAATAATATTGTATACTTCTTACTTAATAACAAATTAATCTTAAGTATATAGATAGTTTCTTCTTAATTATAAAATAATATTTAAAAGCTTAATTTAAAAAAAAAATATTTGCAAAATCAAAAGCACTTTAACTATGCTATCTTCCGCTTATTATTACTATTTTACTACAGATAGAAATCAGGACAATAACAAATATTCATTCCTAATTCTTAGAAGGAGTATTCTGAAAATAATATATATAATATTTTATCATTCAATTTAAAAAAAAGAAATGGAAATCAAAATTACAGTTTCTGAAGAAAATCCAAAGAATTAAAAACTTAAAAGTATGCAATGAATGTTACATTATAAAGTAAACAAATGGCAAAATTTTAAAGAGGAAAAAATACTATCATTAACCATAGTCGCATGATAAATAAAAAAAAATTATAATTAGAAATGAATACAAAATCAAAAAGTTCATAATATGAATAGGAAATTATTATTACCATAATAAATAAAATAATTTGGTTCAGTTGCATTATAATCCAGCTCTTGTTCAGCCCTCTTAATTTCAGCAGGTAAAAAATGTCCTGCTATATTTGATTCAGCCAGAGACTAGAAAACAAATATACAAATTTTAAAAATAGAAGAATATATTTCAACTTGCATTAAAATTTAATAGATAAAATCGTAACATACCGTTCCGTAAAGAAGTCATGAGCAAAAATGCTGCATTTTATTTAAATCAATATAAAATAAATTTTAAATCGATTATTTTCATTTTTAAGTGCTAATAAAGATTAGTTTTAAATTGACACTTTGAATAAAAAATATTGATTTTGCAGAACTTATTCTTTTTAATCTCATTATTTCTTTTAGATATATTAATGTCTTGGAAAAATCCTATAATATAAACTTGCAGTATAGTGTTAATCTACTGGAGGGGATACACAAACTGAGTTTGTAATTTTTGGTAATAAAGCTTATGAGAAATGCTTATGAAAATTTTATTAATATAAATGCAAATATGTTTACTATTCTTAATTACTGGAAATTTCAGCCCCATTTCTTCATATTAAATAATGAAGAAGCTGTATGTATGTATATATGCATGCACATATGTACTTATATTCCTCACACTGTGGGAAAAAAGTAGAACCTACAGCCATCAAAGTTTGAACCTGCATTGACCTCTGCTCAGACATGTGCACCTTGAAGCCCAAATTTTGAATTTCAAATTTGCTTTTCCGTTATTTCATGTTTTATACGAGCTTAACAAAATTCTGAATACCAAATTCAGAGATTTAGAAGGAAGGTGTTGCCACTTGGCAAAGCATATCATATTTATTTTTCAAATTTAGTCAGAAAATTCTGTGATTTAAAATAAAGATGTTCCCACTTGGCGAAGTGCAAGGTATTTGTCTTGCAAATTTAATCAATAAATTCAGCTATTTACAAGAAATGTTTTGCCATTGTCTGAAATAATACGTTTTTTATATTCCACATGCAAGTGTTTTGCCAAGTGTAAAATATTTAATTTTTCTCTCAGACTTAACCTGGCTGTTACTGATTAACAAACTAACTTGATTTAAAAGCAATAAATGCAGTTTTTCATCTATTTTATTCTTAATTACTAACTGCATCCATGAAACTAAACTAGAGGGACTCATAAAAATCATTGTATATATATATTTTTTTTTAATAGAAACTAGTTTAGATAGACATGCAAGTGGCTAGTTTTATAAAAAGAAAATAGTCAAAAATATGAAATAATGATAGTATTACTTTTTTATAAAGTATTGAATACTAGAATAATATTACTAATTATAAAAATTAGAATAATTCATTTTTGTAATAAAATTTTACCAATAAACTATTTTTATTCACTACATTTAAACTGTATTTTCTTAAATGTATTTTTAGTGACATAATTTCCTGATGATGCTATAAAAATATGGATGGTTGACTTGCCAGATGAAATCAGAAACAAAGGCAAACTTGAATTGAATCAGATCAGGTGAACAATTCAATTTACCTCTATTTTATAAATACACATTTGCATATATGTGCTGTGACATTCAGATATCTTTGGTTTCTCAGATTTGAAATGTAACTGACACAGAAAGAAAACCAGTTTTTTTCAGAATAAAAAAAGGCAGTGTTTAAAAATGTTACTGATTTTTTCAAAAAATAAAGCAATAAATAAAACAAAAGTAATATTTGGATTTTCTGAGAACGATTTATTAAATAACCAATTAGAAATGGAACAGTACATAATGGTTATGTTTCTTTAAGATGCAAAAAGAAATACAGTCAACTACCAATTAACCAGGGGCAGATTAAATAGACCCTGCCTTAAAAAAAAAAAAAAAAAAAAAAAAAAAAAAAAAAACATTGTTTGTTTATTGCAAAATAAGGAGAAAATTCCTCTTCTTCTTCAACAGCTCGACAGCCCTGGCCTTCTACAAAAGTCTTCTCCAGACATCTCTACTTTTGGCAACTGTTTTCCAGTTTTTTTTACTTTTAAAATATTAAGATCTTTCTCAAAACAATCAATCCATCTCAGCGGGAGTTTGCACTGAGGTCTATTTCCCATGGGCTTTGCCAGAAAGATTTTCTTGCAGCAACGATCTTCATTCATTCTAGCCAGATGGCCAGCTCAAAAATTTCCAGAGCTTCCTCATCACGTAAAGTCAATGCCCAAGTCTCTGATGCAGGGCATAAAAGCATGTATTTGCAGCAATGATTCTTTTACATATTTCTGGGGCCAACACATTTTTATTATTTATCTCTGTTCCCAAATAATAAATCCCCTGTAAATCCATTAACTTTTCCAAATTTAGAATTCCCAATTTCTAAGTGACTAAGCTGTAAGTCAGACTTAAAGCAAGGTAAATATTTAGTTTTATTTTCGTTTACAAATAAATTAATTCTTTTAGAACTTTGTTCTAATGCCATAAATGCCTGTTTGAGATCCAGTGCAGTTTGAACAATAATGCCAATGTCATTAGCATAAGCCAATATTTGAACTGAGTAAAAATATTTCCTCTAATGCTGACTTTTGAGTCTCTAATAATTTTTTTGAGTGCTATGTTAAACAGGAGGCATGACAATGCATCTCCCTGTTGCACTCCATTTTTTACCTCAAGCCCTGTATGTCTACTTACTTGAATTATGGTTTCTTTGAGTCAAGGCTACAAGTGCAACAAGTTTTTCTGGAATTTTCAATACATGCATAGCTTTTATGAGGAATTCTCTGTTAATACAATCATATGCTGTTCTAAAATCTATAAAAAGATTGTGAGTCTCGATTCCAAATTCTCTTCATTTTCCAAGAATCTGTTTTAAGTTGAAAATTTGCTGTTATTGATCATCCCTTCCTAAATCCACATTAATTGTCGCCTATCAAGTTATCAACAAATGGCAAAAGTCCGTCAAAAAGAATAGTAAGTAGGCAGAATTTTATAGGATGTGCAAAGAAGACTGATTCCTCTATTACTACAGTCTAGGACATCAGCATTTTTGTGTATCATGCAAATGGTACTAAGTTTCCATTCAGTTGGGAACTTCCAAATGTTGAATTAATTCCTTTATAAGCTGTACACAGTTAGGTTCCACAACTTTTAAAAGATCTGACAGTATATTGTTAGGTCCAGGAGATTTATTGTTTTTTAGTTTTTTTATAGTATTATTCACTTCTATCAATAAAGGGGGGACCAATAAGCTCTAAATTTCTGATTGTTGATCCACTAACTTTTGAAGGCAGGTCAGAATTCAGCAGCTCATTCAGGTGCTCCCTCCATCTTTGAAGAATGTCACTTTATATAGAAAGAAATATTGCTATCTTTCCCTCTGCTCATTGTAGTTGTTGGCTTGAAACTTCTTCATAGATGATTAATCTCATGAAAGAAAGCTCTGCTTTCCCCTACTCTACTAAGATGTTCAACATCCTTTAAGATATTTTCATGGAAGTTCTTCTTCTTAATATGGTGGATCTTTTTTTTTCCCCTTTTTCTGCACATTAAGGAGAAAATTACTATATTAAAAAAAGTAACCTAAAACACAGCTATCTATGGAAAACACATTAAGGGGAAAAAATGCATGGGATAACAGCAGGAATAGGTGCTTCCTATTCCTACATGTCCACAATATACGAATGCATCTAATTCTGGATCTATATAACTTTAAAAGCAGTTAAAGCATATAAGCTTTAAAAGTAGTGACTGTGATTTTTAACTGCAATCCAATACAAATTAAGCACAATTTTCCATTCTTTCATTTTATGCCTCTCAGAAGAAATGATCAAAAGATAATTGAATGATTCTTAACATTTGACAGTGTGATCAAATCAATAAGAACTGTAAAATTTTATTAATTAACTAGCCGCTATGCCGCCAGCCTTCGTCTGGCTTTTAAACGTACCGGAAAAATGCCTAAAAGACACACCTGGGACCAATGGCCGCGTGAGTTCTTCCAACTTTTTTCTCTTTGTTAAGATTCCAACCCTTCCTTGCATACGGCTCTGACGTATCTCCAGAAAAACATATACATCTTGAATTTTTAGCAAACTGATTGCATGAGATGTGCATTAAACATCTGTTAAAGCATAATTTATATCCCCCCTTCTTAACCACCACAACTACATAAAAAAATTATATAAAAATTCTACAATAAAATTAAAATTTTTTAAACAGTTTCTTACTCGATAGTTTGAATGATTCTTTTTCTGAAATATTGAAATATTATGATACTTCAGGAATCGTCTGAGAAAATGTGTCAGCAGTCACATCGCAGCCATTTAACTTGTAAAGCAAAGTCTTTGAGCTTCGTTTCAGGCAGAGGATGATTTTAAGCAAGCATTTTATAAAGTGTTTCTTACTCGATAGTTTCAATGATTCTTTTTCTGAAATTTTGAAATGTTATGATACTTTAGGTAATCTTCCGAGAAAATGTGCAAAATCTTAAGAACTCAAATGGTCTAAATGAGGTTAAAAACTTTGTTTCCTAAAAAAATCACTCAAAACTTTTCAATATCTTAAAAACAGTGAAATGAGCAATAAATAACATAAAAGAATACAAAAACAAAATATTCTGAAAAGCAAAATATAATTAATGATATTTTATCTTATATTTTCAAGAGAAAGAAATTACAATGAAATAAGCTATATCCCTTAATACAAATATTAATTATCCTAATAAAAAAATTAACCAACTTTCTGTTGAAGAAAAAAAATCATGCAAAACTTTTCAATATCTTACAAACAGTGAAATAAGCAAAAAATAACATGAAACTCAAAAAACAAAAAATTTCGTGCAGAATTTTACTCTGCAGAACAACTTTATCAAAAAAAATTTTTTTTTAAATGTATTATATATATAAAAAAATGACAATGAAATATGCCAATCTCTTAAAAACAGTGACATAAGAAAAACAATGAAAAATTGTTGCCAAACCCATATTTCTAAAAGAATGAAACTATTCAAAATGACGCAATTTCCTCAAAAATCTATCAGCAACAATAAGAAAGGAAAATTGTCGCCAAAATCACATTTTCAAAGATGTGAGATGTGAGAAGTGTACTGGAAGCTTCATTTAAAAAATTTTTTTTAAATACAAAATATTATCATTTTTCCAAAATTCTTTTTGTAAAAGCAGTCGCAAGGATGAAAGTTTAACGTATCCAAAAATCAAAGAAAAATAAACTGTACGTTTTAAGAAATAAACTTTTTTAGAAAAAATCCTGTTGAAAATGTTAAATACGAATTTAATATTTTTATTGATTTGTTAAATAGATTCGTATTTAATTGATTTATTGAAACACGAAATTTATTTTAAGTTCGTAAATAGCTAAGTGCCTACGTTTCATGACAATGTGAAATATGTACCAAATTTCTTAGCCGTGGGTCTATTAGCTTACGCGCAAGGCGAACAAAAGACACACAGACTCTTTCTTTTATTATATGTAGAGATTCCAGATTTATTGAATTATCTCCTAAAATTACTTTATTATACATAATAACAAGTAAGTATGAGCATGGACTTTTTTTTATGTTGCGATATTCTAACAATATTTATTATGATATAACACATTCACTTATTATGGGAACTTAATTCATGAGCTTTTTGAAAAAAAATTAAGACATTTTAATGATAATTTCAACTAAATAAGACAAACATAAATCAAGATTAGCATTTAAAAAATTTTTATATACAGATATATGTTAAAATACTTATTAAAAAATCTTAAAATTTCTAGCAGCACAAAGCAAATTTAATTTATTTGCACAGTTTTAAACTTACCCCTGCTACAGAATCAGCTAAGCTTCCAAACTGATCCAAAATAACTTTCAGATCCTCTGGATGTGCAACTTCAGTAACATTGATAACAGAAAACATATTATCCATTCCAGTCATTAAGTGAAGCTGGGAGGGAAAAAAATTATGAGCAAATCCACTAAACGAAGAAACTAATGAACATTATATAATGTTATTCATAATTTTGAGAAAGATTTCAAAAATTTTATTAAATAAATTGCACGATGGATCATGGTCATTTTTAAGCTAACAAAGTCTTTTAATGAAAGATTTGATGCCATTTGCTGATAGCAATATGATATTCAATAAATATGTCAAATCACTTTAAGTTTGGGAATATACAAATACCTTGTTCATTTTAACTGCATTACAATAGTTTTGAGCAGAGTTCTGTATGGCAATATGCGTTTCAACATGTGAAATTAGAAAAGGGCATGTGGAATTCTATGAAGGCTGTCAGTGCTCATTTCACTGATCAGAATACATGACATTTTTCTTGTGGGAGTTCTTATCAAAGATATTTTCTTTCACTTCCTTTTAATGTACAGGGTCAGAAATGGTATAATTCTTGAAAACTATGGTTGATCATTGGATTGATGGATCCAACTCATAGGAGTTATCATATCATGGTAGACCAACACCAAACCCAATGCTGGAATGTTCAAAATGTGACATCAATATATGGGCAAGCTGATAAGTATGCAAAAAATGAATTATAACAACACAGATATCCATCATATAAATAAAGATGGATTCATTAAAGCAGTTGCAAAATATATAAAAGTAAACTAGTAATTGCGATGTGTTTCAGTGCATTAAAATTTAGTATCATTTGTGCAATTTATTTGTCATAAATTATTAAAATATTTCACAGAATTAAAAATGAACATATATGTATATATTTATATGCATATCTCTCTCTCTCTATATATATATATATACATATGCATGTATATATATATAATCAAAAGAAAATAATAAATAAAAAAATCTTAAAGGTTTCTGATTTTATATGGGCATTTTTTTCATTTACAGACACATGCACGCTTCTAGAGCGTTTCAGCTAATGCCCCATTGTGCGAAAAATATTTGAAAACAGCATATTTTTAGAATTTCCGATAGACAGTCTCACAGACTGGAGATAAAAATGCTTTATTCTACACAGTGTGTTGCCACTGCTAGCTTTGATATGATTGAGTTCCTTAGTAAAAAATTCATTAAAGCTTAAAAAATATGAAGTAGATAATAAAACAAATTTGAAATTCAAAATCCAGATTTTCATGTTCGGGTGGAGGACTACATTATTAAAAAATTTATGGCTCATTGTTTTTTTACAATGCGAGAAACATACATATATTCGTGCAGATTCTTTATTATTAAGTTTCTTTAAACATATTTGGTCAAAATATTTGGTGGCAACAATTTGAAAAGTGATTTGGGCATTTATCATTTTGCATCGAATGCATTTGTCATCAACTTTGCATTTGTCCACATTAATGGGCTAATAATGGTGACAAATTGACCAACAGAAAAATATAAATCAAAACTGAAACAAAAACAAAACACCATAATAAAATAACATAACAAATAGTTGAAAATTCTTTGATCTTTTTCAAGGAGTAGCCAAAAATGTTTCAACAGAGCCACATTCCTGAATTGTATCTTAATGATTATCATTCTGAATGTGGAACTTTTTTTTTTGTTTTATTTCATGAACTTGTATTGATAATCATCCAGATATAACTCAGAAATATGGCTCTGTTGAAAAATTTTTTGACTGTTTCTTGAAAGAGAATAAAGAATATTTAACTATTTGTTACATTATATTATTGTTTCATTTTGGTTTGAATTTTGATTTACATTCTTCCTATTAGTCAATTTACCACTGTTGTTGATTTAATTATGTCTTAATGATTTAACTATTTAACTAATTTTGCAGCTTACTGTGTGTGAAATTTCTAAATTCTTGTTCGAAACTGAAATGAGCTGAAAATTCTACATGTTATATTTTACTTGTGTGTGTTGGGTAAAATATAAGCATATAGCATTTTCAGTTCTTTCATATCAAAATGTGAATACCTTTCCACTCATATCTGTTGGTCCATTGTCAGCAACTGCACTCAAAGCTCCCCCAAATATCTCAGCATCAGGAAGAGCCTCCATTGGAAGTCTCAATAACTTAGCTATTTCCCTGTTTTTAGCCTGTGTGGGAAGGAAAATTAATAAGAGTGAAATAATGAAAATGTATCAAAATCTAACATGCCTATCTTGTCTTAATATACAGAAGAAAGCACATCAGTATGAAACATAAAACGAAATAAAATCCACCACAGGTTTTGTGATGGCTTTTTTTTTTTACAATAAAATCTACACATTTCAAGGAAGCTTTGATTTTTGTTTTTGCTTTCCAAAAGAGGGAGAAAACAGAAACTAAAGCATTTAACAGAAATTTTCATGAAAATGGCTGTTATTATGTTGAGTAAAAAATAATTTTACATTTAAAAACTTAATTAAATAATGGATGTCAACCAGTTTCTTTCAATGGTTGCACTTTTTACAGTTTCTTATTACTTATATAAGAGCTCTATCACATTGAATTACATTGGGTTTTAACCAAAGTTTCCTGCCACCGCAAATATCGTCTGCACAAACAGTTCACATTGGCGTGCTTGATCATATTTTGTCAAACGATTTTTGGCATTTGAAAGAAAAAGACTTGCTTTAGAACACTGTGTTGTGAAATTTGTAAAAAAATATCATTAAGGTGTCTGAAATGGAACTGCATGCTACCAGATTAGAACCATCATTTACTTCCAGTTCTGCTGCAAAAAGTCAGCTACAGAATGTCACCAAATCATGTGCATAGCTTTAGATACTAATGTTGCATCATATGACACTGTGGTGCCCAATGTTCAAACACAAGAAATACAACATTCAAGAAGCAGAGTGCTCTGGCAGGGCTGCTGATGCTGATGACGCCCACCTGTGAAAACTTGTAAAAGAAGATCAGCATGCTGCCACTCCAGAGATTGCTAAGGAGTTAGACAGTACAGCCATGTTCATTAGTTGCCCTATGCATCACATAAACTTGACGTACAAGTTCAATCATTGGATACCGCATGAGCTGACTCAAGCAGATAAGAACAGATGCGTTCGGATCTGCCCTAATCTCCTCGAATATCAGTGCAAGGACAAAATTCTGGACCGGATCATCACTTTTGATGAAAAGTGGATTTACTTCAAGAACACAGGCCAGAAAGGGGGTTGGTCTGCACCTGGTGAGCACGTTGGCAGCATCGCAAAGCACAATTAGACTAACAAAAGATCATGCTTTGTATATGGAGAGATTGCCATGGTGTTACTCACAAAGAGTATCTGATAAACAGTAAAACTCTCAACAGCAATGTGTACAGCGAGATGAAAGTCCATGCTGATACTGCTATCAAGGAAAAACGTCGAATTGCAACTGGTGCTTTAATTAATGAAATGATCAGGAACTAAGATAGTTCTACCTATTAACATGCATAAAAAGTATTCACTGCTATTTTAAAATATATCATGTTAATTTGTGACTTACTTATTGACTTGCCTTCATATTTTCTGTATACAATTTTGTTTTATGTTCATAGTTTGTGATACAGGTTTATGTAGAGCTAAGTTAGGCACTAGAATTTCATCACTAGTCATACAGACATGGTCTAACTGCACTAACTGTGCAGCTCTGCCCTAATTTTGATGGAGAACTGCCCCAAGAACACATGTGAAGATCTCCCAGTGTATCACTCTACTGATGATAACTGAGACAGCCTAATTAAGCCATACAGCCACTTGTGGTCAGGTGGGTGGGATATCCCCACAAACAGACAAACCACCTTGTTATTTAAATAGCCAATTAAATGCTCCCATTACAAAGCAGTTTGAATACCATAATGTAGTGCAAGAGAACTTTTTTATTTTAGTGCTATTGAGGGATGGTTGCTATTGCATGTGGTATATTGGTTGATCTGAAACAATAATTGAATGAAACAGCCTTCAATATATATAAATAAATTTTATTATACACACAGGAATAAGACTTGTATCGGGAGCATTGTGTAGCGATCCTTTCACTCCAACGGCGCCGGCTAAAAGAGGCTGTGATTCGAGACAGAAGTTGTGACGTAACAGAACAGATGTTGCTGCGCCTCTTGCTGATTGGCTACAGAGTATGGCCCCAGTTACGAAGTCAAGATTACAAATTACATAAATATTTACAATATATGCAGAAAATATTGATATAATAGTGCAATACAGAATATCAAGTACACTATAATAAAAATATACTGTACATGGTATAGATACAGTAGAAACATATGCATAATACAAAACGTTATAGTACAGGTTTCTACTCAGGGAATATAGTCTGTGACTAAATGCTTTGGAAATCGGATTTTACCACCACTTTTAGTGGTAGACGTTTTATTAAGGCATAGTGGGAATGGAGTTGAAACTGGAGGTAAAGATGAGGTACGAGTAATGCCATCTGGCAGGAGGTAAGCAGGTTTTATGCGATCAAGATAAGGCAAACCAACCTCATGCACTGCTGCACTTCTCAGAGATGCTACTAGATAGTGAAGTGACACAAGCAGGCGCTCACATACCAAACAGCATGCAGCAAGTTTATGACACCACAAAATCCTTACACCACCAAACTTGAACGGGTCACCTGTATTTTAAGTATCCCTCCCATTCTACATGGATACAATACACTTACAAACATTCCTGCCTTTTCTGGGATTTGAATCCCAGGGTAAATAATATGGCAACCAGCATCACAAAAACTATACCAATCAAGGCATTGATGGTTTTTGACAGTAATTTTTCCATTATTCCTAAAAAAAAAATTTTTTATTTATTATTATTATTATTTTTTTTTTAAGACAAGGCTCAAATAATTCACAACCTGGTTATCAGTCACCATTTAATTTAAGTTGATGGTAGTAGAAATCAAGCACAAAATAAATGGATAAAGAGAAATTGTGAAACATATTTGCATAAATCAAAGACAATCAAAAGTTGTGTTGTTTTCATGCTCAAATTTTGAAAAATTTGCCAAATTTTTGCTTTGACATTTTTTAAAGCTATCCCATAATAATCTTTAAGCTACACTATAGCAGTACAGTAATAGACAGACTGAAAAAACAAACAGAACTCCAGCTAATCCAAAAGATGTGTTAAGTAACACACAAATATGCATGGATAAGCAGAAAATACTAATAAACAGAAAATTTACATAAAAAATGCTCCAATATATGTTAGCAAAGAATAAAATCTTTTAAGATATTTTACATAAATATTATATACAGGAAAAACACATAAGAGGAATTGCTAATTAAAATTAACTGAAAATAACAAAACAGTATAATAGTTAAAAATGTGAGAAAGCTAATTAATTTAATGCACAAGATTATAACTGATATGCAAGACAGACCTTTGCATCTTTGTCTTGTTCCTTCTCCCATATTTCTGTAAGCATTTCATAAATTTCCTCCCTCGCCTGAGGAGTGAAATAACTGCTGTCGATTCCTTCTAATTGCAAGTATTCTTCCCACTTTCTGTCAACCTCAGCATCACTAACTCCATCTTGAATGTAAGACAGAAAACAGGAATAATCACTTAAGGTTTTAAGAGGAGACAAATTAAAAATATATTTAATTACAATATTTTACTTTATGCAGTATGAAAAGTTAAAACAGAGGCTTTACATTTAGAATATCATTTATGACATAAAAATTAATTAAGGTATTAAAGAAAATGAAAACAAAACTTTAGTGAGAATATTTTTTTATCTCTCTCATAAAATACATCAATAAACATTTGAAACTATTCTTTCAGTGCATTTTTATAAACTATACCACACTCATAATTAAAAATGCCAAATAACAGCTACACAGACATAGATGTACTAGCTATCTTCAGTTAGCAAAATATATTATACAGAGGCTTACAAAAATGATCGAGCACTTTGAATTTCTATATTCTTTAATGAATAAAAAAAACAAAAATAAAATAAAACAAAAAATATAAAATTTGAAAGTTTTCAAATTTTATATTTTTGAAAGTTTTCAAATTTTACAAAGTTTTCAAAGTTTTTAAATTTTACATTACAAATAAAGGGGCGCTTTCTTTAATGCTTTGTGTGTTACCTTTATTTATTAAATATCATGTTCTTCACACTTAAACCATAAAATTCAGTTCAACAGCAACACCACAAAATTAATTTTTAAATGAGAATACTTTTAGAATTTGCGATACACAGTCTCGCACGCTAGAGATGAAAATATTTTTTTTTTCATACAGTGTTGCCACTGTTTGCTTTTAAATCATTGAGTTTCTTAATCAAAAATTCATTGAAGTTTTACAAAATATGAAATAGGTAATAAAAGAAATTCCAAATGTGGGCTTCCAGATGCCCATATTTGGGTGGAAATCTACGTTATTCAAAATTTGATTGCTCTAGGTACCATTGTTTTATCACAGTGTGAGAAACATACATTTATGTAGATTCTTCATTATTTAACTTCTTCAAATATAATGCATGGCTCTAATATTTAGTGGCAGCAATTTGAAAAGTGAATCAACATTTATAGTTTTCAATGCATAGTACCAAAATGAAATTAATAGCCCTTCTGGGCTAATGTGCTTTGGGCTAACAAAAACAAAAAAAAAAAAAAAAAAAGGCTTATATTTTGATTATATATAAACTCAATATTTTGTACAGCAAATACATATTTGAAAGGATGAAAATTAAATTCAAAAATCAGTATTGTTTGTTTAATAAAGAAAAATATTCTCACAAAACGAATCGGACACTTTCAGCAACAGACAAAAACTTATATTGTTTTTGCTTCTTAATATTTTGTGGGATTACCTTTACACTTCATCACTTCATTTAATCTTTTGGGCATTGTCTCCACAAGTTTTTTGTTGTTGTTGTTGGACTTATTTTATGCCACTCCTCTTGAATCACTGCTTTCAGTTGCTGCCGCGAAGATATGCTCTGTTTTTGAATTTTTGATTCTAGTTTCTGCCAAATATGTTCAACATGATTAAGATATGGCAATTGGCTTCAATTACTTCTGAACACTTATGTAAAAGCCAGAGTCTAACACTGCAGTATGCTTTGGATCATTGTCCTGGTAGAATTTAAAACTATTTTGTATATTAAGTTTTTGTGCTGAAGATACCAAATTTCACTTCAGGATGTCAAGGTACTTACACTGATCCATAATACCATGCGTAAACTCTGTATTGCCAATACTGGAATGAGCCATAGGTCCTCATAACTTAACTCCTCTTCTGCTGTGTTTAACACTTGGTTTTGTTCCTGAAATTTTTTGGATTTTCTCCACACCAGCACTTGTCTATTTAATCCAAAGATGTTATATTTCCTTTCATCAGCAAACAACACTTTTTTTTCCAGTAGTCTGGTGTCTTTCACTTCATCAATTTTGCAAAAGCAAGTCAAAGTTTTCAAGTTTTTTACTGAAGTAAAATTTTCTTCCTGCCACTCACCACTGATATCCTGCAGATTGCATTAATCTTCTTACAGTTTCTGGATTTATGCATATTCCATGTAATTCATAAAGTTCTGCAACAAGTTTAGGAGCATTCAATCTTGGATTTATATATATATATATTCCTTAGAATAAAGCATTTCATTCCATCAGATAACTTAGATGGTCTTCCAGGTATTCTTTTGTTTTGAATACGATTATGTTTTTTATAAAGCTTAATAATATAAAAACCTGTATAATTACTTAAATTAAGTAAATAGGCAATTTTTCTAACACATTTCCCTTTCTTTTGATCCAAATTAATAACTAATCTGTGAGTTACTAATGTTGTTTGCTCTCGTGAACGAGCCATTGCAGGAAAATATTAAAATAACGAATATTTTCTAAAAAGAAAATTCAAATTATAAAAGCAAATGATTTTTAGAGTTTTCCCTAGCTTCTTTATTCTAATTCCATAAAATACTGTTTTTTATTTATTACAAACAATTTTAGTTAGAAATTATGAAAATGTCCGATTAATTTTGTGGTATCTTCTTTTTTTTTTTTTTTTTTCCATATCAGCCTAAAACATTATTTTTAAAATTTACTATTTAATTTTTTTAGATTTATTTAGTATAAAATGAGAGCTAAGAAAATATGCATTCAAAAGGAAAGTGTTCTTTATAGTTTTATTTCAAAGCTTTTCTCCTATTCCTTAATAAAATAAAACAATTATAGTGACCAATCATTTTTGTGAGACATTGTATATGCAGAGTTTTGAAATATTGCAATTTATTTTTTTATTCAGATAAATTTCAGATCACAAACAACTCACAAAATAAAAACACTCATATGGTTTACTCTACAGGTTACCATATTATCTCTTACCAAAAAATCCAGTTTGATTTTTTTGCCTTCGGTACTCCATAAGTATTGAGTTTTTAGCAATAACAACTTGAGAAGCCAGAGACATTTTTCCTTCAGCAAGACATCTGTCAAAAAATCTCTTTTCTTCATACTCTTCCAGCTCTTCCTCAGTAGGTAAAGATGTCTGAATTTTAAATAAAATGTGAAATTTAAAATAAATTTCTAAAACTATTTAAAAAGTATAGCTATTACTTTCCACTGAATTAATTATCTTTCAAATCCATTTCTAAAGATTACACTACTTTTGAATGTAATCATGTTTTATAGAATTTTCATAAATTTCAAATTTTATAAAATGATATTTTCTTTCCAAAATAAAATAAATTAAATAACAAAGTAAAGTTATCAATACAGATCTCCTTTAGAAAAATGTGTTGCAATTATTCTTAGATAATAATGAAAGCAGATCACACATATACACAATGTTAACTACAGACATACATGTGTTATTATAATAAAATAAATTAAATAACAAAGTAAAGTTATCAATACAGATCTCCTTTAGAAAAATGTGTTGCAATTATTCTTAGATAATAATGAAAGCAGATTACACATATAAACAATGTTAACTATTGACATACATGTGTTATTATATATGCTAACATAATATTAAACAAAATAAGCAATCCACTAAAAGCTGTAATAACTTTAGTATAATATAGCAAAGAATAAAATTAATAATTATTTTAACTAGAACTTGATATTTCAAAGTAATAAAGATGTAGTGGGGTAGTTCTGGCTGACCTGAAGAGATAATTGTTTTTTTCCCCTTTACTATTTGTGCATATATACAGGGTGAGCCTAAGTTGTTTTTACACAATAAAAGGGATGATAGTACTCATTCAAACAAACAATAATTACCATGGAACATAGGGTCACACTCCACTCCAAGAGGCAGACAAGAATGAAATTAAAAATCCAACATGAATTTATAACAGTGTTGGGAAAGCAAATGAATGATAACAAAAGTAGCACAATCTGATTTATTGATCACAGAAAAACTCACAGCAAGTGCTCAAAGTGGCGGCCATATGTGTTGTTGCACAGTTCACACAGGTGAATGAATAACTGGCACATCCTCTTGAAGATTTCTGGTGTGTTAATTTTGTCTGCAGCAACAATGATTCTCACTGCAACATCTACAGCCGAGTCCATACACTAAAGTCTATATACAGTCTCATAAGCTAAAGATTTTATGTGCACCCCCCAGAAGAAAAAGTCCATTGGGTTGATGTCTGGTGAATGAGGAGAACAAGCTACAGGTCTGCCATGTCTGATCCATCGTGCGGCATATTCACTTTTCTCAGAGTGGAATGCGAATGTATGTGCCATACATACAGAATGTATGAATGATAATTATTATTCACCTGGATAAATACTATCGCCTCTCTTATTTTGTTAAAAACAATTTAGACTAACCCTGTATATACATGTACACATACATAGAATCACATATTTTTGTTTAAAACAAAATTATTCCAAGCTATTTCCACACAATATGCTGCTGAAAGTTAATCAGTAGACAAAATGTAAGAAATTTAGAACCAGTTCCACAAAGGCCAAAAAAGAATGGAAATACAATAACATTAATTTCAAAATTTCCTATAAATATGTAAAATCAAACGGAGAAGAATTAAAGAAATGCAGAAACCCCTAAAAATACAAAAACCATAAAAATAAATATATAGGAAGAGGAATGCGATCAAATCTGATATAAAGTTATCAAGAAGAGATACATCAGACTCAACTGAACCCCTTTTCCTCTAAAACCACTGTATTTCTCTTATTCAAAATTAGTTGATGAACCCAAAATTTTTGGGTGAACTGTTATAATTATATAATTTAGGATGGTTCATCAGCTAATTTTGGATAACAGAAATGCAGTGATTTTAGTAGAAAAGGGGTTCAATTTAGTCTGGTGTATCTCCTCTTGATAACATTATATCAGATTTGATCGCATTTATCTTCCTATGTATTTATTTTTGTGGTTTTTGTATTTGGGGGGGGGGAGGGTTGTATTTAATGGTAATGAGTTTCACTTCTTTTTAGTCTTTGTGGAACTGGTTCTTAAATTTCTTACTTTTTGTTTATACAATACACACACATATAAGTAGGTCTGTCTGTATGTATATGTAAATCTATAGTTATGATTGGGCTCACAAAATTTATTTTAGAAAATAAAAATTTTTAAACATAACACTACAATTTTGTTAACATTTTATTTGTGTAAAATTGCAAATAAACATTGAAGAAAGTTCATCTGTGCTTCTCTTATATATGTTCTTCTAACTACCAGGCCTTTCAGTGTGTGTGTGTGGGGAGGGAACATGCACCCACATTAGAAAAGTTTATTCAGCATTTTTTGCAAATAAATAAGTAGGAATTTCATATCTTGATGACTTATTGTAAAGGCATTACAACGACAAGCGAAAAATTACTATTTTGATATGAAGAACTGAAAACACTGAACATTATCTTTTACAGAAAGAAAGAAAATGTTTAACATTTATGTTATTTTATATTGAATAAAATATTCTCAATACAGTAATAAAATACAACACACTGAATTAGCATCCTTTAAATATGCTTCTTCTTCATCTTCAGACTGAGTTTGTCAGATAGCAGGCACCTCTGCTAAATAGCATTTTCTGCCAAACGCACCAAACCCAATGCTTCCTAGCTCCATTTGTTTGGGTCACCCACTTTGTGTATAAAGCCTTACAGTAGCTTCTTTTAAGGATTAGAAAGCTATTATTTTATACAGTATGATAGCAGATTACAAGATTTCAATTTAAAAATTAGATTATCAGTGTTTATCAAACTGAAGTTGAATAGCATACTTATTAATATCAACTCATGAAGAAATAATTAAAATTAATATATCACATAAATAAATCATTAGGCTTAGTTAAACATACAACTCAACCAGAAGATGACAGAAATTTAATTATGAAACATATTTAATGTGTATTACTGAAAAGTTTGCAGCACTGTACATAGTAACGGCCCCAAGGAAATCCCCAATAGAGCACCAAACTTCTAAATCTCCATATGGTAACACAACTTGTACTCTTGTTTTCAATCCATATGAAAGACGTAATGAATCTTCTCCATATTTTACTGAAACATAAAGATAAATACCTAAATTAAGCTAACTCTTAATTTCTTTCAGTAAACATAAATATATACAAAATGTTATTTAAATATTTGTAACTTTGGAATAGTTAAACTGTTATAATTAAAGTAATATTGAAATTCAAGTAATCACAAATATAAATAGAAAATTAAGCATTCTGAACACTGAAAAAATATAATTTTGAAAGTATTTTTACTAAATATTTATTATCAATAACCAAATTCTAACACATTCTCAGAACAGTAGCGAAACTAGTTCTACAGTCCTGAGAATCTTGAACATGAATATAAACATCAACATTTGAATGTAAATATTATTAAATGACACATTTCACATTTTTTTATTATGCAGTTTAAAAAAATATGAAACGTAATAGAATAAGAAACGAGAAAAGTTTAAACATATAAAATGTTTTAAAAATTGCATTTTAATTCATGAGAAAGAGTTATTAAATTAAAATACTTTCAAATGCTGCTACTTTTATCATGCTCGCTTTTGTACAAATACCTAATGTCTAGTAGTAATATTTGAATATTGTGATGGTGAGGCACCATCATGAATGTGAGAACACAATTTTCTCACTTATATATAAAAAAAAAAGGTACTTGGATATTAACCACTACCCGCACGTACACCACCAACAATACCATGCAATTCTGTTTCCATTCAAGTATTCCACATCTTAAAAGCTATTCCATATGCTTCTAAAAAACAGTTTTTTATGTCCTTTCCTTGTTAGTATGCTCTTTTTTACTTTTGGGGCTAAGGCAAAGTGAGGATGGCTTCCCTTAGCACCAACTGCAAGAGTTCCATTGCAAAATTATGCTTGCATTGCATAATCTTTTTATAACTCTTTTCCACAGAAAGATATGAGTACAATACTTTTTTTCTCCCATTCCAATTTTAACTGTACTTTTTATCATGCATATAGTAATAGAATTACTGAAAAATGAAGCAGAAGCAAGCCATTATTTCTAGGCATAATGGTATTTTGCCAAAAACTTGCGAGTACTCTAATTTTCTTGCAATGAAACTTTATATGACAAAGAATGTGTGATGGAAATATAGTGTCAACAACTGCTGACAAAATATTAACACATGTTTAATTATATTAATATTAATTTAATATTTGTTCAATGTGTTGTTTTACCTTAATTGTTGACAAAATATAAGAATAAGAACTGGAAATTGATTCAACAGAATTAATTTCCTTTTTTGTTTAGCAGAATTTGTATGATAGTAGAGAGAGCTATCAGGAAAAAGAACAATGTGATGCCATTTTTAATGCAATTGTTAAACAAACTTCCAGGTTAAAAAAAAAAAAAAAAAAATTTGAAAGGATTCAGATTTTAATGTCACACTAGAGGGTTTGTCAAGGTTTTTATGCTCTAGTTGCACTGCGAATGAATTCATCCCATGCATGTGATTTTGGCAAAATAAACACTGGCAGCCAGAAAATGAAAGACGTGTTGTTTAAATTTTGAAGAAAGCACTAACAGCAACTGACTTTCTTGTCCCCCCTTTCCAAAAACCTAAAAGTCTCCATGTGGCATTCCAACTAGAGAAAGATGATACCACTAGGATTTGGATAACTGGCTCTTATCCTAATTACTCTTAAAGTGGAGTTAGAATGTAAAGAATTAAAGCATTATTCCCAAGTGTGACCTTTAAGGTGCAGTGGATAACAGATCTAAATATGAAATGAAAAAAATATGATTCAGTACTCAGTGAGGGTATGGCAATTTTTTCATATTTCTCACTCACATCTAATGGATTCTGCAGTATTAATATGAAATATGAGCAAATAAGCTCTAAAAGTACTGCCATTTCTCTAAAAACTATCATAAAAACAAGCAACTACTCAAATTCAGGAGTATCTGCTGAACATAGTTTATAAAACAATTTATTATAATCCAGTTTAGATGAAACATTCTTTTGTACTAACTGTACTAACAGTTACAATTCGTCTCTACTTTCTGTAATTAGCAACTAATGGATCATTTGCAGCAGATATAAATTCAATGTGTCAGATACTTGTCTTCCCTTTTAAGCTTTTAGAGCCATTCCATCTGAGCCTTCAGTCTCTGATATTGGTTCTGTTATAATTTGTATCTGTCATGTGCCAACACAGATTAATCACAGATATTCTTTAATATGGCTGTATAATAACTTGGATTACAGTCTCCATGGTAAAATATTTGTTTTTAATCATTAAATGATGTTTATTTCAGACTCATTAAATGATTAAAATGAAAAAATAATGAAATGAATAAATAATTATAAAACAAACTTATTTAGGGATGTTTGTTTTATACTTATTTATTCATTTCTGCTGACCCTTATATCACATAATTTTAGTTTCAAGTGACAATTTTTCTGATGATTACTTGTAATTTTACTAGCTTCCCATATTGGTAGAAAATTTCTATTGGTAGAAAATTTCCAGCTGATTATTTCCTTCAACAGGAAATATTTCATAAATAGCAGCTGTAAATTAAAGTTGTCTTTGATGCTGTATAACTTATCTTAGTATCTATTTTTTTAACTTTAATAAAATCCCTCATTTCATTTGTACAAGTTATAAATATTTCATATTAATAAATCAGAATATCTTTTATAAGTATTCTATTCACTAAATTAAGAGTACTCTTAATACAATCTCACAGTTATCCAGCTAATTTATCTCACAAATAAGAACTTCATTTTCACTTCTGCTATAATTTCTATATATGCTATGTCTACTGTTATGAAATGTGAAACCAAAATATTCAATGTTTCATGACTATTTTAATAAAATACTTTTGCATTCTATATTGATTTGTTGAATGAGAATAAGAGAATAATGGTTTGATAAATTAATTTTCTGCGATTTCCATTTCCTTCTTATCATAAAAACTGGTCAGTTGGCTAATTGTTATGGTGTAAGGATATTTGTCTTAGAAGGCCTATCATAATGGAGGACTTTTAAAGGAAAATTGACTCATACTTGCATTCTCTGCATTGAGCTACTTTATTAAAACATCTTCTTTTTCAGGAAGGACCAAATCATCTGCATGAAGTCTGCACGAAATGCCTACCACTTCCACCAACACCTTTGTGAGCACATTTTTATAAACACAATTATAATATTTGTAACTCCTCTCTCATGGTTTGAATCAGTTTATAAGCATTGTCTACAGACTTTACTAAGCTGCATCAAAGTTCTGTAAAAATAATGTAACAAAATTCCATTAAAGTGTGCAAAATAATATATTTTAAAAACTAAACTAACAGTTATCCTTTTACTGTCTCTTTGTTTAACATCTTAAGTGCCATGTGCATTACCAATGATTCACAATGACCTTACTTTTCGGAATCATGTGCATTGAATGTGATTCACAGCTTTTGTATTAGTGTCATGCGAGTCATCAGTGCTTTATAAATACACAGCTTTGTATGGTTAACATTATTTCTGTGGAGTTAGAAAGTTGCTCTGTATCTCACAGCTCTCTGTAAATTTGCTCAGAATGTTGATTGTTGGCTTACGGAAATTTTTATGCATAAATTGTTATATGATTTTAATATATATTTTGCTGCAGTAACTTTTAAGTAATTATTATTTATGTGGAACTATGACAGCAGAGTTGTAATTAAAGGGGATTACATTGTTTATTGAAAGAAAACAAGACTTGCGGTACGTTTTAAGATGTTTATACATCATTTTTGGTTACATATGCTGTTTCACTATTTGCATTGTAAAACATTATTTGTCTAATCTTAATTTTACTATCATGACTAATTTTTACCATCATAACTAATTTTTATTATCATAACAGTGGAACTCTTGTGTTACTTTGTGATAAGTTAAGTTGCAATCTAGTTATAACTTATCTACTTATTTATTTATCTATCTAGTAAATATTTATAAAAATACATATTCAACTATGGACTGAACTAACTTTTAGGATAAATGGGACAAGAAAACACCAGAATTAAAAAATGCCCTGATAGAGTAATTTACCCAATTTTGCTGTGGCAGTCAGCCTATTAAAAAAAAAGAGAGAGAAAAGGAATAAAAAAAACTTTCATAATTTAAAAAAAAAATCATAATGCATTGAATATTCACTTTACATGGATCTTATGGATTTAATGAATTATTTCAAATCTGCTTGCTACCAATTCCATAAGCTTAAAAATTTTTAAATAAGTACTACATTTCTATAAATCAAAATGGTTAAAATATGCTTTGAAGTTTAAATCGCCATACTGAAATATTACTTTTTGTATTTTTAATTTAAGATTTTAAAGCTTTCTTTTTCCTTAATTGATATTAAGAACTGCTTTTATCAAAATCCTGAAATTATTATTTAGCATAATTCATTCCATTGCAATGCTTACCATAAATACTATAGTCAGCAATCTGGTGTTCATCTGCATCATCCCAGTTTAAAAACTCGATCAGAAAAATATCCAAGAGTGCCATCCCTGAAGTTGTACTAATTCTGCATTCTCCATGCTCAGGTGGGGTATTAATAATTAAGAATATCGATGAAACACCATCTGGAATATCTGGATTGCGTATAGAGCCAATCACCTCCACAAGAAGCACTTTAATGTTTGGATTTTCCACAAAAAAAGTTTGATTTATACCCATTCTTTCTAAATCAACTAAATGTTAAAAAAAAAAGAATAAAATTATTGAATCATATAATAATAAACACTTCTATTAATGGCATAGCCTAGCAATCATCCTTTTGTTTTCTTTACACAGCCTTTCGTTTATATATGCAGGAATATTGACTTGGCTTGGAATGAAAGTCTGTTGTGTATTATAAATCTTTTAACAATCCATATGGAGTTTCACTAGTAACTGGAATTTATTTTGGGCATTTCCTTTCATTAATAATATCTATAAATTGCTGCTTAAGAACATTTTGCTTCTAAAAAAATTTTTTCAGAATTTTCAATTCAATCATATTCTTACTTTTAGGACTTGAAAATTTACACCATAATTACACTCTACTGTTTGTAATATTTTAATTCTTGTTTCACTTTATTTTTAGGCAAACATGTATACTCCTAACTGCAAGTTTAACCTTTTACTGAATCATAACAACAATTTACTTTTGTGTTTTTTAGCTGAACAATACAGTATACTCTCTTTCTCCTACTTATAAAATAAAGGGATTTTGAAATTCTAACTTAATCTACAAAAATCAGGTAAGACATGAAGAAATGCAATTTTTTTTAATGTATAATGCTAGTAATGTAACATAATTCACAATTTCGAAGGATGGCAAAAATAAAAATCATTATTTTACCACTGAAAAATGTAGTATGGTTAATGTACCACTAATGAAAATAAGGAAACTGTTAGAAGTAGAGCGGAGACAAATTTAAGAAAGGAATACAGGCATAGAAACAAAGATGAGTTTGAAAAGTGAGCTAAATACTCTTTGCCAAGAGAAGTACTAAAATAATCAAGCAGATGAGAAAGATAAGTATAAACATTTGGATTTGAAATAACTATTTTCATCCTTCATTCTTGCACACTGGTTTGAAAAACGTATGCAGCTGGTCTTGTCACAGTTACTGTAGTAATTCAGAACTTAAATGGTACCTTTCATTCCATAGTTTTGCAATAGATTGCAAATAACTGAAATGGTGGCCACTGAATCATCAGTTAAGGGTCAATACTGTACTTGTATATTTAACTCTTTCGCATCGAGAGAGGACCAAATTTGTTTTCCGCAAACATCGAAAACACCCATGTGCACGAATTTCTCTTGGAATGGTTGTCCTTTCCCCATGACAAGTAGAATGCTACAGCACTAGCAATAATCTATTTAAGTAAATTGACAACTTCTTTTTTGGACGCTTTCATCAATGTGAGCAGTTTCCCCTTGGGATAGGATTGCAACTTGGGACATCAACAGCTAAACAGTGACAGTAAACAAAGGAGAAAAAAGGTGATTTTAAATAACAGAACTACTTTTAGTCTCTTCAAAAGAATGACTGGCATGTCACTTAATAACTCCAGAAAGCAACAAGCAATGAACTAATATGTTGGGGAAAAGCACTAAATAGAAAGTGTTTCGGGCATTCGGGCAACCTGCCGATGTCTAAATGGTCAGGCGTTTTGGGTGGCTTTGATGCGAAAGAGTTAACAAAATTATGTTAAATAATCTCCACAGATTTTAATTTCATTGGAGCATTTCCAGGAGCAAATTTAATAAAAATTAATTTTATATAAAATTAAAAAATAATAATTATTACCATAATGATTTTGTCTATTTAAAAATCTCTCCAAATATTTTCATGGATTATATATAGTTATCTTAAATTTTTCAAAATATTTAAGGCAAAAGATAATTGTGATATAAATAAGTTAAGCAGTTAAAGACATTGTTTCACATTAAAATGGAAGTCATTTAGGTCCAACAAGTTTTATTTTACCTGGTTTCAACGTAAATGCTTCTTGTATTTTCTAACTAAATGACTGCGTTATTTTAATGTGTTGAAAAATACACATTCAAAATAACAAGAAACAAAAAAGAATGTAGAAGTTGAAAAAATTGCCATCTTTAGATGTTTTAGGAAAACTTCAAAATTTGGTATAAAGTAGAATTTAGTTTCTTCTGTCACAACATATAAAATTAAGAATATAATAAAGTTGGTCTTTTATATGTCACTGAACTGCTTGTACATAAAAAAAAACAACTCTGTCTTGGGCACAGGAATGTTTTGAAAACAACTCTGTCTTGGGCACAGGAAAATATTTGATATGGAAATCCTACTAAATTATGCACTAATAGTCTTTTTACATTGTTACTTTCAATTTTAACTTTTAAGCAAAATAGACCAAAAATACATATAAAATACATTATAATTATTTCAGATATGTGTATACAACACACCAATGAAAAACGAAGTCTGCTTTTCTATGTACTGATTACTCTACTTAAAAATACAAATTCAAATTATATGATAGTCTTGGCGGTTTTGTTAAAATAGCCCTATTTTAAATTTAAGCACAATTTTTTGCATATATCATGAACGTGTTTCATGGAGGGAAAATAGACCTTACAAAACCTAACAGCTATAAAAGATGTTATACGTAACTAATTTTATGATTATTAGTTTCAAAATTGTACATAAATTTAAAACTTTTATCAATCTAAGTTAATAATGGATATATTCTTTGAATTTATTGTTCATAACTGAACTTTGTTAATTAGTATTCATTTAATAATCCCATCCTATTAATATTTAATTCAAAACAAAGTCATAAAATAAAGTTTATTGAAGCAAAAAAGTTGATCTTTTAATCAGAAAATAAAATTAATATAAATGAGAAAAAATATTTTTAAATTTTAGTATATTACATTGCGGCGGACCACACAGAGATAAGTAAATCGTGTGTGCGGCCCCTGCAATTCACTGCTCCAAGCCTTTACCATGTGTCAGACGACATGTTTTTGACATCGCAGAGACATATCTTCATGCCTAGTGTCAGGAGATCTTAGCGTTCTGCACCATGTCTGACGTCAAAGCCTCTCGATTTCAGGAGGGGCGACGAACCAATGATCTGATTTTTCCTCTGATATTGTTACAGATATAATGAATCAGAGGATGTAAAATGCTACTATAAAATTAAGGAGGCATGGTTAATTCAATCTGAAAATTTTCGCCATTGGAGTAGCATCAAGAGAAAGCTCCTGAACTCTTGACTAAAGAGACCTATTATGCTCTTGAGCTCTCGACTAGAGAGAACTTCGTTAGCAGACTCCTCATGCTACGAGGACTATAATTCATTTTAATAGCTATCTATGAATTATATATGTATATATATGTCTGTCTGTCTCTCTCTCTGTGTGTGTGTGTGTAAAGAGTTCTAGCAATAATAAATATCTTTCAGTTTAAAACTAGGAGTATGCAACTTCGCAAACTTACCCAGTCATTACAAGGAGTCAGATACCCTACCTGCAACCACTCAGCACAGGGTAATCTGAGAATCACTCCCACAGTAGTGACAGGACCCCCCCCCCCCCCAATATCATTTTAAAATATCATTAAAATATGCTTTAATAATAATAATAAATGCCATAGAATACAGAATCTTATGAACTGATCAGACACCCAATAATACATTAGGATACAATAATACAATTACAGAAGGAAATTGACTCAGTTCATTAGACATGTGTGTGTGATTATGTGTGTGTGTGTGATTATGGCAAAGCCTCGAGGGCTATCTGCCTAAGGGGAGGGATGCCTTCGTGGAGGACTTTCTAAGGGAAACTGGCTCGTATACACGTTACACATGGAAAAAACCACGAAAACACCCATGCAGCCAGTCTGTTCGTGGGATTCCAACCTCGGACCGAACTACCAGTGTTCAGCGACTTTACCGCTGGTGGGCCCCCATTAGACATATATGAAAGATAAAGTAATGCTATTTTAATAAAATAAAAAGTAATTACTACAATTGAAAATCATTACTCTTTAAATTCAGTAATTATAATAAAAAAAAGCAAAAACTTTATTTTATAAAATAAAAGGTATGCCTCATAGTTACCAAGAGCATGATCCTTCCAGTTTTCAACAACATTTTTTTCCATTGTATTTAGATCAGATGCATATATATGCCAAGTAAATGTTAAGTCATCATCACAATCTTCAGTGCATTCTACAGTCAAGGGAATAAATGAGCTGGGATTTATATATTGGCCTCTCACCTGAGGAATACAAGCTACTCTTTTTTCACACCTAAAATAGATAAATTTGTCTTGAAACTAAGTGACATATTCGGCACAAGATCGTGCAGCAGCAAAAAAGTTTAAAATGTGACAATTGTTTACACACGTACACATATGCAGTAAAATTTTTACCATATTAGAATATAAAAATGAAATGTTAAATTAATGTATTAAATATCATAAAAATGCTCTTACATAACACGTAAGCTTGGAGGCCGATTTTTAATAACTTCTACAATAAGATGACCTTCTGTCACTTTATCATCATTTTTAATTACAGCTATTATTTCATACAAAGCATCCCATGTCCAGAAAGTGTCACTTTTTAGCTCATAATCTCCTGATCCTATTTCCATTAAACCTGTCAAAAAATTTAAAAAATAATATATATGTATATATGCTAAAAGAATGTAACCATATAGATACAATTGTAATTTGAAAATAAATGAATAGCTGAAAACACAGAACATATGATTTCAACTTTTCTTCACTGTTTTTTGATTTATTTGGCACAAATTACCATACCCTGAAACTTAAAAATGAGGATACCAGCATGATCTTGAAATGTAAAAAGAGGATAAGCATACTAGACCACTAAACTTTAAATAACATCTTACAAAATTGCATAATTAATGAGAGTCATCAAATTTCACACAGTAAAAATGAAGTCTACTTAACATGCTTGTTCTCTAAAATAAATCTGGCAATGCATATAAAATAAAAATTTAATAATAATAATAATAATAATAATAATAATAACACTTCACTATTTAAACCAATTTTCAGCCACCCATGTTCCCCCAAAAAATAACTAACACCATTTAAATAGCCCATGAGTATTTCTTTATTGACCTGATATGTTTTAAGATGTCAAAATACATTAAAAGTATAAATGCGATATGATGCAAAAATGATAAAGTAGTTTTACTTTGCTGTAGCTAACATTTCATTGACTCCATAGCAAAATGGCTTCACTGATTAGATTGAATTAAAAATGTCAATATTTTGAAATAAATATCATGAGCAAGAACAGTGGGAAACTTTAGTATAATTTTCAAGAATTTAGAATGGTATTTGAGAGTTTTTGAAAATTTGAAGTATTGAAGTATTGAATTTGAAGTTTTTTTATGAAATGATGCAGTTTATGAGTTCTGAACAACCACTGAGTGAATTTTCAGCAGTATTTTGGAAATGCTCTTCTTATTCATCCTGTCTCTTGTGGTGCAGAAATGCAAATCTAACATTTCATAATATCAGTTTGGCTCCCCCTGGATGCTGTGCTCAGGAACATGTCCACCTTGACCTCCTCTAGCTATGTTTCTGTTGGGGTGTAGACTTAGCTTCATTATTTAATAATCCAGACATTTTTAAAAATTTAAATCCACAAATTCTATTCCAAAATATTTACATTGTTTTTAAAACTTCCTCCCAGACATTAATTTAATCCTTAAAAAAATAGACATAAGGTAGCTCTAATCTGATATACTGTTATGTTGAAACATGGCGCTGAAGAGAAACTAAGATAAATTCTCACATTACTCTGCTAATCAAGAATAGTTATCTGAAGTCTACCTATATACATAATGCTTTTCAAAAGGAAAAAAGAAAAAATGCAGAAAAGTGCACTTTGCCAGTTACGCTCCTGGTGTTAAATTATTTCTAGTTAAGGCCTATAAAATATTTTCCAAACATTGAGGTAGAATTAGTCATATAAAATTTTAACAAGATTTAATGATAGAAGAAAGTAAATCATTATGCAGTTCAGATTTATGATTAAAATTCTTCTTAACTAAATATGTCTCAGCTGTCAACAATAAAAATGTAATAAGTTATGTTTTTAATCCTTCGTCAGAGAAATTATAAATTTTAATAATATTTTATCTATTTTTACTTACATACTGAGAAACAACTGTTACTGTCAGAGACACTGTCAGAGAAATTATAAATTTTAATAATATTTTATCTATTTTTACTTACATACTGAGAAACAACTGTTACTTTAATTATATCACAAGAACCGCAACAGATAATTATATTTGCCATCCTTGAAGCCAGAAGTTTCTGGGTTGTGCTGAATAGCAGCACATTTTCAAAAGAATTCCAAATTGACTTCAATTTGCTGTATAATGCATGAATCAAGTTATCGAACCATTTATAAAATCACTTTGATGTAAAATATATTAAAATTTAAGTAGATATTTTAAATTTTATGAAAAAAGAACATAAAATAATTATGTTCTTTGACTAATTTCATTTTGTAATTTTCTTATACTTTTATCTGAGAAAATCTCAGTTAGGAAAGGAGACTTTAATTTTTCACATATAGTGAAATTATGGTGAGAATTAATTTAAATAATTAACACACATTCAATTGTGTGGATAAACTTGATAAATGTAATAACATACCATATGCTGCTGCAAAACAAAATTAAATACAAATATTTATTGATTAAATATGGTTGAATTTTCGTATAAATTTCTACAAATATCTACAATAGAATAAGATAATTCAGATAAAATTTAATTTAATGAGAAAATCACAAGGAGTAGAGGAACGAAATTTGAAAAAATTTAAGTTTAATTAATTTAATGAATTTCATTTACTGCTAAAAACCACTTTCCTTAATAAAGGCTAAGAATTAAAAACTGAAAGATTAGCGATCTACTAGATGTGACGGAAAACGGGTAGAGTTAGTAGATGTGAAAAATGCTTCAGCAGTCTATATCAAAAGAATTATGATTAATTAACTACAAAAACTTAATATATTTTTACTCATATTAGCTCTATTTAATCTCTTTCAAAATCTTAATTGTCAAGTTTCCTAATCTTATAACATCTGTATCATAAAAAGTAAATTAAATAAATATTCAAGTAATACACAGTTCAGTAATTTTATTTAAAGCAATACATACCTGGTCCCTTGCCAAAGCAGCCTCCTTTATATTCTTCTTCTTTGATTGTTGAGCGATCAGTAATTGGACCAGAAGGATTGTTAGTATCATATTTAAATTCACCTAACTCTGTTAAAGTTTCATCTTTATCAAGTCGCAGGCAAAACCACGTCACTTCAAAATTCTGCAAGGTTATTTAGTAGTGAGATATTTAATTAAATCTTAAAATAAAAGTATTCCTGCTTGAACTCCAAAATTTAAAAAAAAAAAAAAAAAAAAAAAATTAATACAAAACTATTTTTAACAACTACAGAATATGGGGGGGGGGAAAGAAAGGAAACAAGAAAAGGATAGAATGTTTGCAATAAGGGTTTCAGCATACATACTTACAGTTTCAGTTTTAGAATAAGATTTTTAAATGAGAGACAAGTGAAAGCAAAGTGGTAAAAATCAGAAATATAATTCACTATACAGGTGAAAAGAAAAAAAGATCTTTTTATTATATCAGCACTTGATTTTTCAAATAAACTCAATATTATTGAATTTATATATTTAATAACTTTCTTAACATTTTGCATATAAAACCTATACTATATATTAATTTGAAAATATTGTAAATTTTGGCCTGTTTAACTAAATTGCTTTTGTTCTAAAGTCACCATATACATAAAATTACTTTAGACCATAAAACTGCAGTTTTATGTTATGTTTGACCATTAACTGCAGTTTTATGCAGTAAAAGTTTTATTCTGTTGATTGAAGGAAAATGCAGCAATTTATTTTTTCATTAAGATCCAGTTGAATGGCTTGCATAAATTTCACATCCTTCATTTCTTTTGGCTATAAAAATAACTTTTTCACAGTGTGTACAAACTATTCTAACCCTCTTAATATTTGGGGGTTAGCTCTGAAATATTTATCAAAATGATACACTTCTTCAATCGTAATTTCTCAAAGCCCTGACATTTTAAATTGGAATTTTTTTTAACTTTGCTATCAAAGCTTAATAAATTATTTTTTAAAGTAAATTTCAACTTACAACAAAACAACAGGCAATCTAGTTATCACCAGTAAAAATGTTGGGCAAAAAATGGATGCAGGTAGTTCTACACTAATGAAATAAATACTCAAGACATCTTAGGTGATATATTATACAGTCAAAAGTCGTTAATTCGGACACCCATAATCCGGAATGATCTATAATCCGGACCTCAAAGCTAAAATCTTTCTGCGCATGCGCCGCATTGACGCATGAGCATAGGCGTTTTACTCGTGCGACCAAGACATTTACGACTGCGCATATGCGTCTGCGCAAGTGCAGAATACGTTTTCGCGTGCGCGTTTAATGTATAACGGACGTTATACGCTAAAATTATCTAATTATCTATTTCAGTTAATGTTGATGATTGCGTTGTTCCTTAATCTTCGAATTGGATCCGGCTTATTATTTTTTGCAGACTGTAAGAGCAATTTTCTAAAGTAAGCTTGAACTTTCGATTATGTCAAATAGAATTTCCGATTCAAATAGAAATTCCTAGCTCCCAAAGGATCTAGAAAACGAAAGTATGTTTCGATGTCCATCAAACAAAAAACGAATTGCTACAAAAAATGGATAAAGGCATATTCTTTGTTTATCTAACCGTTCCGAAATCTGTTTATCAATTTCACGCTGCTCTGCGCGGGGGGGGACGTCGCGGCGCGCAATGAACTGGAAGTATATTTGTCAACACTATCGTTATCTTCAGGGCAGATGTTTTTATTTTATTCCGCTTATAATTCCTTACTAAATGTAGCATTTAATTTCGATGTACTTCGTCTTTGATATGATTTAAATCAAATTCCTCGTCATTATAAATATCACGAAAACAAATCAAATAGTTTTCTGGTTGCAATTTTCTAATTTCGACTAAGCGTAAGGTATGCTTTACACATCCGCGCGTTAAAAGAAATGTTTAATAAAGTAAACAAATAAATATTAGGGGCTTCTTTTTTGGTAAATTTTGATACCCTTTAGATCATAATTGCTCATTTTTTTATAAATTACGGTTTCATATTTTTAATTTTATAATTTCTGCATGCCATCTTACCAGATTTAAACTGATGATCTATAATCCGGAATCGCCGAAAGTCCCGACGAGTCCGGATTAAAGACTTTTGAATGTATTATATACAATACTAAAAATGGTAGAAACTTTTAAAATTTATTGCAAGAACTGTCGAATCACAATGCCAATTAGCAAGTACTGTGATAGAAATCAATGGTATATTTTGCATCTCTAACATTACGAAACAAATAACTTTACCAGTCCTTTTAAATTTTCTTTTTATAAAACCAACATATCCTACTATATATCAACAAACTTTATATGTCTTGCATCTTCTGGCATGATAAAGAAGACAAAAGAAAAGAGGCAATCAGTTGAAATGAAAAGCTTTTTAATAACACATTCAAATACAAAGTGAAATATCAGCCAAAACTGTCATTAGAGTTTTAGTCTGATCTAACACTCTACCCAGCAGGAAAAAAATGGATTTGACTTCTAAGGGGAAAAGGGGAAAATTTTTCCATCAACCATAGTTCAGATATCTAAAAGAATAGGCCCTTAAACAAACTAATGCAAAAGCGTTAGAACATTTTCAGAATTGCAAAACTAAAAATGAAGCTGACTTCAAATCACTGAAAAAAAAATTTATAGGAACCCTCCATTAGCATCAATGAAGTGGTAATTTAGATAAAATTATTTTCAAATATAAATTACATTATTCCAAATTATAAATAAAATGCAATTACTGATGTTTGTGTAATATTATGAACAGTTCATAACATGTATTTTAATGTATAATTTTACATAATGATCATATGAAATCTATAAGACTGATCATCTCATGGTAATCTTTATAATTTGATGGCTTTTGATCAATTTTAACTGGCCATCACTGACACACAACATGAAATATTAACTGCACGTAGTAGCAGCAAAGGGGAAAATTGGGAAAATTGTTGTTTTCTTTGCTAGAATGGACATATGCAGTAAATTATTTTTTTAAATGATTATTTTAAATGATTAATGACAGATCCAGCAAAATTACAATAGCTGGTTCAGTGAGAACATTAGTAAACCAGGTTGTAAAAAGATCATTGTATTGCCTCAAAAACAAAGAACTGTAGATTAAAGATGATGATCATTAAAGATAATAAAATAAATAGTTGAACTGAATGCCAAAAACTAAAAACAGCTTAAAGTTAAATATGGAAAATGTAATTCATGCAACTGTGAACAACAGAAAGTATTCTCAGTGGTTCACCAAGAACTCCTACATGGTTGTATTTCAGTGCACAAAATATTTATTCCCCTAGTGCCAGTCACCAGTTCCAAGTGCATAAAATGGTACAGCAACCTCCAAAATAGTAAACTGAATAATTGGCAGTATATAGTTTTTGTTGCAATTTTAGAATAAAATGGTAATATAAGCAGTTAGTAACGAAGATCCAAATTAATGCCAAACACCATACTGGAAAATCTACAGTTAGTGAGTGTAAATAGTTTTTCAAAATTTTTTGGCTCACTGAATCCATATTTTAGGTTTATTTTGTTCACAATACACTTCAAATTAGTTCAGTCCTCTTACTCTTACATTAACGATATATTAGATGCAGTGGTGAGCTATGAAAATTTTAACAAAAGAGCTTGCACTTTATCTTATAAAAAAAAATCAAATTCCAATTGCATGCTTCACTTTTTACAAAAATGGAAAATCCAAACAATTTCGCACAAACAAAAAATAATAAAATATCTCAGAAATAAAATAACAAATAAATTTAACTATGCAGCACAATTTATGCCATTGTTCCCTTCTTTCACGTCAATTAAATTTCTAGATTCTAAATCTTTGTGATCCTGTTTTGAAGATTTTACATAAGGTTTAGGAAGGTTTCCTGCTTAAAGGAACTATCACTAAATTTGAAACATATTATATATTTTAATATCTTCTTGTAGAAATAGTTCTCATCCAGCCGAAAACTCATTCATCTTTAGAACTACAAATTCAGATAGTCTCCATCATGATCTAAGCTTTCTTAATACCATTAGGAATGTCATTATTCATTTTTCCTGTCAAAGCTTTTTCAAACAAAATATTGGAAATCATTTATTTTTATTTTAAGTTTTAATATGAAATTAAATTGCTTATTATACTTTCATCTCCTAGTCATGGACTTCTTCCATTTCTGGACAGCCCACCAAAACAGCCGAATAGTAAAGTCGTTGAATATTGGTAGTTCGTTCCAGGGTTCAGATTCTGACAAACAGGATGGCTGCATGGGTGTTTTCATGGTGTTCCTCATGTGTAATGGTATATGAGTCAGTTTTCCTTCGAGAGTTCACCATGAAGACATCCCTTCCCTTAGGCAGATAGCTTACGAGTGCTTTGCCATAATCAAGTAGACAAAAATCAAACCATCTCTGGATAACAAACATTAAAAATTACTTTTAATTCTTCATCATTTTCATATTTTATCTTGCAATTACTTAGTTGCAGTAACCTGCTCTTTAAAGATATTAAGATACATATACACTGGCTATCATAAATTAAGGAAAAATCACAAAAATCACGATTACTGAAAAAGTTACATGTAGAATTTAATGATGACTTACCCACAATATACAACACATAGTAAGGTATCAAACAACATAAAAAGAAATTACCAGACAAATATGGTAATATAGAAATTAGCACATGTATAAAATGTACAAATCAAAGGTGTCAGTTTGCTATAGGAAAAGTACCTTCAATATGGAATATGATCGCTTCTAGAAGCGATACAGCACATACAGCGATGTGTGATCCTTTCAATTATGCGGTCTATCAGTTCCATAGGAAGAGAGAACCATTGCTCTTGCAAAGCAGTTGCAAGCGCGACAAGGGTCTGAAGGGCTATATTGAGAGCAGCTAGACATCCCAAACGTGCTCGATAGGATGCTCGATAGTAAAAACTAAAGAATCCCAAACATGCTCGATAGGATTCAAGTCCAGGGATCGCGCTGGCCACTCCATGCGCATAATTGTTTCCTGTTGAAGATAATCATCTATGATGTGAGCCCTGTGTGGTCTTGCGATGTTGTCCTGTATAGGAAAGCATCACCTATTGCCCCGGCATATGGGCACACATAAACATCAAGGATG